GCTTCAGCCAGGCTCGGGCCAGGACTCAGCCTCTCTGTGCTGCAGCAGCGCCCACAAGGCCTGGGATTATTTCCCAGCTGCTCTTTCTGTGTGACCCTGGCAAGTCACTGAACTAGCCTCTCTGGGCCCCCAGCCCCCTCTTCTGGAAAGAAGGCGTGGTAATATGTGTGTGCTGTTGTTATCTGTGCGTCACATTGCCCCGCAAAGAGAAACAGGCACCTGATGCGTGAAGGGCGCTACTGGAGGGAAAGCCCTACCCCAGAGGAGCATCTATTTATTGATTGATTTGTTATGGGCATCCACCACTCCGATGTCCACGGACAGAGTGAGGAAGGAAGTCCAATCGGGTAGCAGACCACACTGGCAAAAGGTTTCTTCAGGGAAGGTTACCCTCCCACCACCCCCTTTACCAGGCCTCACATGATGGCGGCCCAGTGAGTCTGCCCTGGCACCAGTTCCCGGCAAGCAAGCCAGAAAGCCTGGGATCTCAGGGGTGGGGACACAGCCTCTGGTCCGTCTCCTCCTTCCTGGTGTCTCACAGGCTGCTGCCCCAGCACCTTCAGTGACTCAGTGTGCCTCATGCCATTCAGAGATGAGCACTGCTTTATGATTCATTGAGCAACCATGTACCTGCCAACCGGGCGTTGAGCACTCTACCTTTGGCCAGGCCCTGGCCTGAACACAGCTGCACTAACAGTGGACCGGGCGGACACACTCTACCTGCAGTCGGCAGTCTAGGGCAGGAGTCTCTGCCTGGAGCTACGTTAGAACCATGCAGAGGGGGCTTGTTAAACATACTGCGGTTCTGATTCTGATGTGTAGATCGGGGTGGAACCAGAGATGTTAAGATGGAGCAGGGATCCCCTCTTAGGGGCCTGTCAGGCACCCTGAGCATGGAAATAAAGGAAAACCATGAGTCCCTTCCGGGGAAGTTTTGGGCACCCAGCTCATCTTAAAATGTGAGTGGGAATAACCACGATCCTCCAGGCAAGCCAAGTCAAGAGGTGCTTTGTTTGGTTCTCTATGCAAACTTAACATATGTTCTAGAGGCTTCTTCCAGAAACACGCATCTCTACAGAAAATGGACATACAGGGAAACTGAGGAACTGAACTCTGATCTCTGCCATTTTTGTTCTAAATCCCCCCCCCAGGGGCCTGTCACACCCATCTTATCATTCCTTTCCACTAATCCAAGAATCTCTGAATCCACCTGTGCCGACCCACCCCCACTTTAGCGTGCCCTGCCCTTTTGGGCCAGACCAATGTGTGACCCCCATGTACTGATCTATAATTTTGCAATTACAATTTACGATTTACAATTTTGCCTGCCTCAAATGTACCCCTGCCTTTAAAAACCCTGGCTTGTAAGCCATCAAGGAGTTCAGGTTTTAAGTCTTAGCTGCCCGTACTCCTTGCATGGCACCTTGCAAATAAAGCCCCTTTTTCCTTTGCAACTCTCGGCTTCAGTGTTTGGCTTTGCTGTGCCAGGTGAGGGACCCCAGTTTGGTTCGATGACAACGTTTGCATTTCTAACACATCAATCCCCAGGTGACGCTGATGCTGCTGGTCCCAGGACCCCACTTTGAGAATCACTGGCCTATGGGAAGGAAACAGACATTCATCCAATATTCACACAAGGAAACAGATCACTATAAACAGTGAGAGGTGCTACAGGGTAGACCTATAACACCTGAAGGCTGAGTGTGCATGACGTGATGGTGAGGATGTTACAGAAACTGCACAAGGGGGTTTCAGCCTGGGTGCAGTTTCTCGTCAAACAAAGATCCAATGATTGAGACAATAAGGACTGCCAAGGAAGAAAGGAATTTTTAATATGAAAGTTGTCCTGTTGGGACAAGCTGCCTCAAATCCCTCTCTCCAGGTAAACTCACAACTAATGGACACAGTGAGTATTGTAGGGGGCAAAGGGCACACCCCAAATCATGGTTTGGGTGTGACAAAGTCATAATATGTAACCAAAATGTTTGTACCCCCCGTAATATCCTGAAATAAATAAAAAATAAAATAAAATAAAATAAAATAAAGAAAGAAGGCTGAGCCTCCCAAATAGATTTTCACCAGAAGGTGATCTTCCACTTAGATACATTGATGCCAATCCCAGAAGAGGACGTCGTCTGAGGCAGTCAGCTTGCCCAAGACACAAGGCCAGGCTTGGGTCTAAATGAACGCTCCGTATTAACGATTGTTAACAGATGGAGAAATTTTCCCGTTGCAAGTTCCCACTAAATTTCTTTCTTTTCAGCCCTAGTTCTTATGTTTTGGTGCTACTATCACGTGGTGGCCACTCACTATGTGTAGCTATTTAAGTCAAACTAAATTGGGCCTGAGAAAACCTCCATACTCGCATACTTGAGTCCTTACATAACAAATTGCAACCCAAATTATTGTGCAAAAAATACGAAAACCTAACTTATTTTATGCTTCTGTAACAAATAGCTGAGTCTCTGCTAGTCACGGTAGCTTGTGCTTTAGCTAATCACAGGCGGCCAACTGTTCAAACCATGGTTTCTATGCCTCCTTTTTTTTTTTTTTTTTTTTTTTTTGAGACAGAGTTTCACTCTATTGCCCGGGCTAGAGTGAGTACCGTGGTGTCCACCTAGCTCACAGCAACCTCAGACTCCTGGGCTCAAATGATCCTTCTGCCTCAGCCTCCCGAGTAGCTGGGATTACAGGCATGCGCCATCATGCCCGGCTAACTTTTTCTCTATATTTTAGTTGACCAATTAATTTCTATTTTTAGTAGACAGGGTCTCGCTCTTGCTCAGACTGGTTTTGAACTCCTGACCTTGAGCGATCCTCCCATCTCGGCCTCCCAGAGTGCTAGGATGACAGGAGTGAGCCACCGTGCCCAGCCTCTATGCCTCACTTCTGATTCCTGCATGCGATTTTCCTTGTTAGGTCCAAAAATGTCATCGGACCACGTGGCAGCCCCAGAGTCTTTCTGAACCTGTTCTGGGTTCTGGCAGCTACCTGATTCAAGAATTGCTCTTTGCTCAACTAAACTTTGTTAAATTGAATATGTCTAAAATTGAAGTTAATAACAATTAAGATTAGAAAGTTATTCCTCAGTCCTGCTAGCCACATTTCAAGGGCTCGTCAATTGCAGCACGAGGTGAGTGACTGCTGTGCTGGCCGGCGCGGGTGGAAAGCTCTCCACGTTCACAGAACGTTCTCTCCGACAGCTCTGCGCCAGGCGGCGAACGGTGCAGAGCCTGAACTGGTCTGACTCATCTTCGTACAGCAACTGTTACCAGCACTCTCCAGGCCTCTCTCTGCTTCTTCCCACGCTAGCTTCTCACTCTGTTCAGAGATGAATGAGGTAGGAAGTGTCTTCCACACTTGCATTAGGAGGCAGTGAGTGAATCTTTGGTTTCCCAGCGATAACTTCCAGTGATTGGTGAAAGCCGATGCAGCCATCAACTGAAAAAGTCCAAGTTCAAAGGTCTGTCGACTGTGACCAAAGTGAGAATAAAATTTGCCAGAACTTCACTTCCTATGCACATTTTTCAAACTGATCATCCCTCAATGTTCTGCATTTAAATTCCAATTTATTTGGACTTATTCATAATATTGCTAGATTCCAAATTTCTCATGGTGTAAATTTGATTTATTTCCAACATGAGTTTCAGTCTGTCACCCAGGCTAGAATGCAGTGGCATCAGCCTAGCTCACAGCAACCTCAAACTCCTGGGCTCAAGCAATCCTCCTGCCTCAGCCTCCCGAGTAGCTGGGACTACAGGCATGCGCCACCATGCCCGGCTAATTTTTTCTATATATATTAGTTGGCCAATGAATTTCTTTCTATTTATAGTAGAGACGGGGTCTCGCTCTTGTTCAGGCTAATTTTGAACTCCTGACCTTGAGCAATCCGCCCGCCTCAGCCTCCCAGAGAGCTAGGATTACAGGCGTGAGTGAGCCACCTCGCCCGGCCGAGGCTAATTTTTGTTTTCTTCTATTTTTGGTAGAGACCGGGTTTTGCTTCTACTCAGGCTGGTCTGGAACTCTTGACTTCAAAGCGATCCTCCTGCCTCGGCCTCCCAGAGTACTAGGATTACAGGCATGAGCCACTATGCCGGGCCCACATATAACTTTTTAAAAAGGAAGTTACTTTTTTAAAAAATTAAAGTGAGAAATAATCATTATCACTTAAGAAAATGAATTTCACCCCACTTTCTTTCAGAGAACTGACAGTCACAGAAGAAGTGGGCCATACAATGACAAAGTGTCACGTCCTTACATGTGGCATGTCTGCGTAGAGACCTGGATTCTCTAAGAAACCAATGTATGAGCAGAGCACACAAAACATTTTGATGCCAAAGGTGTGGCACAAAGATTTCATATCAGAAAAGTTTCATATCTGTTATTCGTGATTTACAACCAGAAGAAAGAAGACATCAACTCTTTTTAAAAATTCAGTTTTACCAATTTTTATCTTATAAAAACATTTGAGGGGGGGTTAAGATATGAGTGTTGTGTTTTTTTGTTTCTTTGTTTGTTTTTGAGACAGAGTCTCACTCTGTTGCCCGGGCTGGAGTGCCGTGGCCTCAGCCTAGCTCACAGCAACCTCCAACTCCTGGGCTCAAGCAATCCTCCTGCCTCAGCCTCCCGAGTAGCTGGGACTACAGGCATACGCCACCATGCCCGGCTAATTTTTTTTCTATATATTTTTAATTGGCCGATTAATTTGTTTCTACTTTTAGTAGAGACAGGCTCTCGCTCTTGCTCAGGCTGGTTTCGAACTCCTGACCTTAAGCGACCCTCCTGCCTCGGCCTCCCAGAATACTAGGATTACAGGTGCGAGCCACCGCGCCCGGCCAAGGGTGGTGTGTTTTATGGTCTGACCCTTGCTGGCCTCTGGCTTCCCGAGCTCAGGTCAAGAGGAAACTTCTCAGCACACAGTGGGGCGGAGGGGAAAGTATGACTGAACCCACTGATAAGCGTGGGGACATTTTTCAAAGAAAATTGGACAAATTACCATGTAGACATTTGAACTTAATTTAAATACAGGTAAAAGTAGAAACAAGGTTTTGCCACTCATCTTTATCTCCAGTGAGGGTGACTAAAGTTCGCCCCGCCTGTGAAATCGGTTGAGAAAATGTTCATGCCCGTTAAATTTTCCTGCCAGCAATTCCTCCTCGTCTTCCTCCCGGGCTTTTTTCACTTCTTCCTTGGCCTGTATGGCATCCATCTCCCTTTCTGGAGCCTGGAGAAAGAAACAAAAAAGTAACAAAGGCCCGGAACACATTTCCGTTGTTTTAAGCCACCCGGTGTGTGGTGATTTAGTACTGCAGCCACAGGAAACACATCCCCTCTCCTCTTTCCATTTCTAGAGCGCCTAGACCCCCGTCTGCCAACCAGCGAGCAGTGAATGGGGCCATGAACAGAGGCCTCAGGGTCTAAATAAGAAAGTCCAGGCAGGACAGTCAAGGCCAGGGGTACAGACACATTAAAACAACTCCTACAGTTATCTTGGACAAAGCATATTTTGTAAGGCTTTAGGGAAGAAGTCAGATTCTAGAAAAAATGGCTCTTTGGTGTCAGGAAAGGGCAGGTCAAATAAAAAAGAAAAAGAAAAAATGACTCCTAAGAAAATCACTTTATGATAACCATCTTTAAACAACGGAGGAGAAATTGCCATCTGGAATGCCTTACAATGCTGAGTGCTAACCATCAGTGTGGCAGCTAGTCCCAGTGTGACTTACACGACCTGAAAGGTGACAGAAAAGGCTGTGGGAAGAAGAGGGAGTATGAGGGAACTTCAGTTAAAATCAGGAAGATGTTTATGTAGTGCTAGAGCAGGCGTCCTCAAACTACGGCCCGCGGGCCACATGCGGGTGTTTTTCCTTGTTTGTTTTTTTTTACTTCAAAATAAGACATGTGGCCGGGCGCTGTGGCTCATGCCTGTAATCCTAGCTCTTGGGAGGCCGAGGCGGGCGGATTGCTCAAGGTCAGGAGTTCAAAACCAGCCTGAGCAAGAGCGAGACCCCGTCTCTACTATAAATAGAAAGAAATCAATTGGCCAACTGATATATATATAAAAAATTAGCCGGGCATGGTGGCACATGCCTGTAGTCCCAGCTACCAGGGAGGCTGAGGCAGAAGGATCGCTCGAGCCCAGGAGTTTGAGGTTGCTGTGAGCTAGGCTGACGCCACAGCACTCACTCTAGCCTGGGCAACAAAGCGAGACTCTGTCTCAAAAAAAAAAAAATAAAATAAAAAAAAAATAAGACATGTGCAATGTGCACAGGAATTTGTTCATAGTTTTTTTTAAAACTATAGTCCGGCCCCTCCAATGGTCTGAGGGACAGTGAACTGGCCCCCTGTTTAAAAAGTCTGAGGACCCCTGTACTGGAGTTTGGATGTTTGTCCTTCAAGTCTCATGTTGACATTGGATCCCCAGTGTTGGAGGCGGGGCATGATGGGAGGTGTTTTGGGGGTGGATCCCTCATGAATGGCTTGGTGCCTTCCTCCTGGTAATGAGGGAGTTCCCACTCTCTTAGTTGGGGGGTGGGGGGAGGAGAGAGAGAGCGAGAGCTGGTTGTTAAGAAGAGCCTGGCGCCTGCCTCTCACCCTCTCTCTGCTTCCTCTCCCACCATGTGATCTCTGCACACACTGGCTCCCCTTCACCTTCCGCCCCAAGTGCAAGCAGTCCAGGCCCTCGCCAAATGCAGGGGCCCAACCTTGAACTTTTCCAGACATCAGAATCCTAAGCCGAATAAACCTTTTCTCTTTAGAAATTACCCGGCCTTGGGTATTCCTTTGCAGCAGCACTAAATGGACTAAGACATGCAAGCTCATTAGCATGCGATGAATTAATCCAAAATTTATGGCAAAAATATGTCAGGGGTCCTCAAAGAGCTTGCCTCTAAATGGTGGCACTCAGAGGAAACCTGCTGTTCTCTCAGTTCAGGCAAGGTGTGCCACAGCTTTGTTATCCATACTTATTGGCATGAGAAACAAAATGTTTACGTGTACTAGAAGTATATGTTTGATGGTTCGAATCCAAGTCATGACACCAAAAAAAAAAAAAAAAAAAGTATGCATTTGAGGTTTCAATACTTTGGCTGCAAAGAGTTCTAAATGGATTTACACTAAAGTAAGAAATTTTATGTTCTTTATTTGAAGTCAGGGCTAAATTTTTAAGTTGGTTTCTCTAGCACAGAAGCCTCAAAATACACATTAAAAAGGGGGAGGGGGCTGGGCACAGTGGCTCACACTTGTAATCCTAGCACTCTGGGAGGCTGAGGTGGGAGGATTGCTTGAGCTCAGGAGTTCGAGACCAGCCTGAGCAAGAGTGAGACCCTGTCTCTACTAAAAATAGAAAGAAATTATCTGGACGACTAAAAATATACAGAAAAACTTAGCCGGGCATGGTGGCGCATGCCTGTAGTCCCAGCAACTCGGGAGGCTGAGGCAGGAGGATTGCTTGAGCCCAGGAGTTTGAGGTTGATGTGAGCTAGGCTGACGCCACTGCACTTGAGCCTGGCCAACAGAGTGAGATTCAGTCTCAAAAAAAAAAAAAAAAAAGGAATGTTCCACCCCTGAGGGAATGAAAAGGCAAGGCACAGAGGAGAAAAGACACCTGTATGCGTTCACCTGAGAAACAACCTGCCAGAACATATAAAGACCTCCGACAAGTGAAGGAGAAGAGGTTGGACAACCTGATATGAAAGTGGACAGGGGGTATTAATCATGCATTTCTGATGCTTTGACATCTGCCACCTGGCTGGCCCTAGAGGGACAGCCTCTCCCGAGGGTAGCCAATTCCCAGAGATAGTCACAGACTCACCTTCTCTATCCAGACAAACCAATCCTGAGCCCATAGCCCAACCATGCCCTTTGTTGGGCTCACTTTCCAGGTCACTATCCCTCTGCCCTAACTGTCCCAGGCCCAGCCACCAGACAACTAGGGACAGCCCCTGTGTCCCACAGGCTGCTGAAATGATTCCAACTAGCCAATCCTAAGCCTGCTTCCCCTGCCTCACCCATCCCTTCCCACAGAAACAACAAGGCTCTTGTCCACATTTTCCCCTTGTTCCCTGGGCCTGCTGACTGACCCCGGTGCTTAACCTTGTGGCCTCGCATGGCGTTGTGCCCCTCCTCTCAGGAGCTGTGAGTAACAAACTTATCTTCTCTCCTGATCTGTTGGCCTTGCCCTACCTGCATAATAATAAAACCCGAATTTTGAAACACAGGCATTTCACAAAAGATGATCTCCGTATGGCCACAAAAAGCTACAAAGCAGGGCCTACCTTCACCCTCATTTGTCATCAGAGAAATGCAAACTAACCCTTTGCACTCGGATGTCGAGTGTGACTCGACATGGCTAGCAAAAATTATAGAGATTAAAATTACTCTTTGAGGCCGGGCGTGGTGGCTCACGCCTGTAATCCTAGCACTCTGGGAGGCCGAGGTGGGTGGATTGCTCAAGGTCAGGAGTTCGAAACCAGCCGGAGCGAGACCCTGTCTCTACTGATAATAGAAAGAAATTAATTGACCAACTAAAAGTATATATACAAAAAATTAGCCAGGCATGGTGGCACATGTCTGTAGTCCCAGCTACTCGGGAGGCTGAGGCAGGAGGATCACTTGGGCCCAGGAGATTGAGGTTGCTGTGAGCGAGGCTGACGCCACGGCACTCACTCTAGCCTGGGCAACAAAAGTGAGACTCTGTCTCAAAAAAAAAAAAAAAAATTACTCTTTGAATGTATCGATAATTTGAAATATAAAAAATCCAAATAAATAAGTTTGTATGAAAAGAAACTCCAGTTTTTTATTCTACTGTCACGCTTTGTAAAATCTGGAGTGTTTAAATCCCGAGTAGAATAAAGGAATCGAGAAAAAAGCAAGCGAGTGCAAAGGGTGAAACCAGAGTGAGATACCACCATACACCTATAGAAACCAACAATCCCCAGTGCCGAGGATTTGAAACTAGAGGGAGCACAAAGTGTTACTCTGGTAACAATGTGGCAGCTTCTTGTATAATGAGTCATACAGCGTACAACCCTGGGAAGTAAAAACCTACGTCCACACAAAAGCCTGTGTGAACATTTACAGAGACTTTGTTCATGTTGTCAAAAACTAGAAACCAACCAAATGTCCATCAGCTACTAAATGGATAAACTACTCAGTGGTGATAAAAAACAAACTATTGACACCCTAACCGCAAGGATGTATCTCAGACACATTATGCATATTGAAAAAAGCAGGCTCAAAAAGACTACGCATGGAGCTGGGTGTGGTGTGGCCTACACCTATAGTCCCAGCTACCGGGAAGATCACTGGAGCCCAGCAGTTGGAGACTGCAGTGAGCTATGATGATGCCACTGCACTCCAGCCTGGGTGACAGAGTGAGATGAGACCCTTTCACTTAAAAAAAGAAAAAAAAAGGCCGGGCGCTGTGGCTCACGCCTGTAATCCTAGCTCTTGGGAGGCCGAGGCGGGCGGATTGCTCAAGGTCAGGAGTTCAAAACCAGCCTGAGCAAGAGCGAGACCCCGTCTCTACTATAAATAGAAAGAAATTAATTGGCCAACTGATATATATATAAAAAATTAGCCGGGCATGGTGGCGCATGCCTGTAGTCCCAGCTACTCGGGAGGCTGAGGCAGAAGGATCGCTTGAGCCCAGGAGTTTGAGGTTGCTGTGAGCTAGGCTGACGCCACGGCACTCACTCTAGCCTGGACAACAAAGTGAGACTCTGTCTCAAAAAAAAAAATAAAATAAAATAAAAAAAAAAGAAAAAAAGAAAAAAAAAAAAAGACCACACATGTATGAGTCCATTTATATGACACTCCAGAAAAGGCAAGACTATAAGGACAGATATCAGAACAGCGGCTGCCTGTGGTGGGGGAGGGCACGCCCACAAAGGGGACCGAGGACACTTTTTGGGGCAATGGAACTGTTCTATATTTTGATTTTGGGATGGCGGTTTCACAACTATATGCATTTCTCAAAATTCATAGAATTATTCACCTAATTTTATAGTGTGCAAATTATATCTCCATTAATCTGACTTAACGATGACATAACAATACCAGGTATTTATTGCCAAAGATGTGGCACAATTGAAACTCTCGCCCACTGCAGGAGGGAATGTAAGATACATGACCACATTGAAAACTGGCTACATCGGACCACATGACCCAGCAGTTCCACTCCTGGGCATGTTTCCTCTGAAAGACATAGACAAGAATGTTCATAACAGCTTTTTCCTTTTTCTTTTTATTTTTTTCCTTTTTAACTAGAATATTGGGGGCTTTTTTTCATAAGGCCCCAAACTGGCAGCAACCCAAAGCTGCATCAATAGAAGATGGATATAAGCATTCTGGAATATCCATACAGCAAGGACCAGCTATTGCTACACGTACTATTGTCAATGAAGCTCACAACACTGTCTCAAAGAGCAAAATACTGGACGGCTCCATTTATATGAATTTCTTTTTTTTTTTTTTTTTTGAGACAGAGTCTCGCTTTGTTGCCCAGGCTAGAGTGAGTGCCGTGGTGTCAGCCTAGCTCACAGCAACCTCAAACTCCTGGGCTCAAGCGATCCTTCTGTCTCAGCCTCCCGAGTAGCTGGGACTACAGGCATGCGCCACCATGCCCGGCTAATTTTTTCTATATATATTAGTTGGCCAATTAGTTTCTTTCTCTTTATAGTAGAGACGGGGTCTCGCTCTTGCTCAGGCTGGTTTCGAACTCCTGACCTCGAGCAATCCGCCCGCCTCGGCCTCCCAGAGAGCTAGGATTACAGGCGTGAGCCACCGCGCCCGGCCCATTTATATGAATTTCAAACACAGGTTAAGTGAATCTATGGTGATGGAACAGCGTTTGCTTTGGGGGGTGGAGAACGGGGGCTTCCGCAGCGCTGGCAACGCCCTGCATTTTGAGCTGGGCGTGGGGTTCATTGTGAAAATGCATCAGGCCCTTTCCCATACGTTCGACTTCAGGACAACAGTTACAAAAATCAACAAACGACAAAAGATTGCTACTTGTGTGGACCATACCTTGGTTTCACCCCAGGTGGCCTTGCCAAAATGCTCAGCGTACCCCTCATCGTCCGTGATCAAGAAGTTATCAAAGATGGTTCCGGATCTCACCTGCAGACGGAAATGAGGCCTTCGTTATTGATGCGAGAACTGTTAACAACTCTCCACAAAGAAACAGCTGTATTTTGCTTGGTATGGTGACACTGATTAGCTCACAACGGTAGACGGTGCTTAAACCCATTTCCAGAGGGTGTGTTCCCTCTAGGGCACTGGTTCTCAAACCTGGCTGCACAACACGAGATCACCAAGAGCATTTTAAAAACTCCCAATGCCTCGTCTTCTCCTGGGGATGCCGATTTAACCTGGGCATGAAGACTCTCTAAAGCTCCTCAGTGGCCAGGTGGCCAGGTGCGGTGGCTCACATCTGTGATCCCAGAGCTTTGGGAGGCCGAGGCGGGAGGAAAACTCCCACCTGAGGCCAGGAGTTCAAGGTTACGGTGAGCTATGATGATGACACACCACCGCACTCCAGGCTGGGTGACAGAGCGAGACCCTGTCTCCAAAAGAACACAAAAAAAACAAAGCAAGCTCCCCAGTCACTTGAAGATTCAGCGATGATGTTTGAGGAGCACTGCTCTAGAAGCTTCCCGCGGGTGATGGGCCAGCGGCGTCAGCATTGCCTGGGAGCTTGGCGGGAACGCGCGACCTCAGGCCCTACCCTGGGGCTGCTTGCCCGTCAGATATCTGCCGTGTTATCCTAAAGCGGGTGGGCGCTGCGTGCCAGCTCTGAGCAGGGGAGCGGCGTGTCCCGCTGCAGCGTGGAAGGTGAATGACAGGAGGGCAGAAAGGCTGGAACAACAGCTCTACCCCTAGCGTGCAGGTATGGCTGTGCCTGGTGCACAGAAGACGCTAAACGCATAGCAGGGATGTGAATTAAGGCATCCAGACTAAAGTGTAGAGAGGTCAAGCTCAAAAGCGAATTTAAAACCAAGTGACCTGCCAGAGCTCCAGTCCGATGGCACCAATGTTCTCAAACTCTGAGAGGTCGTATTGTGTCAAATAGTTGGTGCTTTTCATCTTCTGGTGAAGCCAGATGTCTTTATCGATACCCTCCGGTTTCAGGCCGTCCTGCAACAAATAAACCACATAGGGTGGTCTCAGCCGGGTGCGGTGGCTCACGTCTGTAATCCCAGCACTTGGGAGGAGGCTCAGGTGGGAGGATCACTTGAGGCTAGGAGCTGGAGACCAGCCTGGGCAACATAGTGAGAACCCCCACCCCATAAGAAAAATTAAAAAAAATAATCCGCTGGGCGCAGTGCCTCCTGCCTGTAGTCCCAGCACCTTGGGAGGCTGAGGCAGGAGGACTGCTGGATCCTGGGAGTTCAAGGCTGCAGTGAGCTGTGACAGCTCCACTGTACTCCAGCCTGGGTGACAAAAATGAGACCCTGTCTCTAAAATAAACGAACATTTAGGGGTGGTCTCCATGGCAAGGGGAGGGGCTTTCGAGGGCGTCCCGGGGCATCCTGGGAAGATGACACCCACCTGGTACGGGGGCTTCTGGAGCATGGCGGCCTGCCAGTCCCCGTCCAGCTCGGCGTTCCAGTCGCTCGGCTTGCTGGCGCTGGCGTCCAGAAAATGCTTCTCCCAGTCCTTCAGAGACACGTAAGGAAAAGATCAAATCAGCCAGATGTTCAGATCTGGGAGAGGAAATTCTCAGATGCCGGTAAGCAGGGGCAGGCCGGCGGCCCCCGTGGCAACGTGGGCGTCGAAAGGCCACGCACTGGGGGTTCCCAACCCCACCGAGGGATTCAGGGCCACACGCCGCCCAGTCCTTCTCCCTAACCCTCCATGTGGTTTCAGCGTTTTTCTGTATGCCAAACACCTGAAATAGTGCCAACAGTGAAATAACGGGGCAAACACGGATGGTGGGGAGAGGAGCCACAGGTGTACTGCGGCCCAGTTTCACTTAAGTCTCTCTTTTCGGTCATGGTCATGCACAGACTATTCCAGAGAGCGGACAGACAGTTAGGACGTGTTCTGAGACGGACCACAGGAGAAACACACACACACACACACACACACACACAGGTTGCAATGGACTGAACGTCTGTGTCTCCCCAAAAGCCTTAGGTTAACAAATCCCTACCTGCAGTGCGGTGGTATTAGGAGGTGTGGCCTTTGGGAGCTGATTAGGGTGTGAAGGGTGAAGCCCTACGGATGGGGCAAATGCACTTATGGGAGGGGCCCCGGAGAGCTCTCTCGCCGTCTTGTGAGAGCACAGCTGGAGGGTGGCCGTCCGCAAGCCTGCACAGGGCCCTCCCCAGAACCCAACCGTGCTGGGCCCTGATCGTGTATGTGCAGCCTCCAGCACTGTGAGAAATAAAATTCTGTTGTTTATAAGCCACTTGGTCTATGGTACCTTGTTACAGCAGCCCAGACTAAGACCCATACACACACACATACGTGTATACATATACCTATGTGTGCACACACACACACGGCTCAGCAGGTGTTGAATAAATGAATGGATGAAAAAAAGTTGCTATGGATTAACTAATGCTCGGATAAACACTTACATAAGAGCATAGCAATCTTGTACATTGGTGTTTTCTCTTTTAGAATAACTGAGAAAGATTTAAAGTTTAGTACCTAGACTAAGGCTTTTCTGTGATACTCTAGAACAGGTGTCCTCAAACTACCGCCCACGGGCCACATGCGGCCCACCAAGGACATTTATCGGGCCCGCCGGGTGTTTTTGCCGCCGCTGCCTGTCCTGCTTAGCAGCTGACTCGTCCCGGGCCCACAGTGCGCATGTGTGGAGTGTGCGCCACACTCTCCAACTGTCTGAGGGACAGTGAACTGGCCCCGTTTAAAAAGTTTGAGGACTCCTGCTCTAGAACATCTCAACAACTGACCCATGGGATTTAGTCACTTCCCCTTCTGCTTTTATTCCCTACCCCCACTGACCACAGAGGAGCCACTCTTGTGTTGGGATCCCGGAAACAGTTACAATTCGGTCCAAGTGGCTGGCTCCTTCTGATTGAGGGTCATCAAATCATAATGCTATAATTAACTACTTGGCTTAGGAGCTCACGCAGAATTCCACCTGCGGACGAAACACAGCCAGCTTGGAAATGAGCCTGTGAAAAGGTGATTCAGCCCCTCCCGGGACCTGCCTCAGGCACACTCGGGTCCTGAACTGCTCTGCTGGGCCCTGGGACAGTGTCCCTATGGCACAGAGGCAGTGAGGTTTCAGTGCCAAGACCTGCGTCTCCTACTGACCGGCGCGGTCGCTCCAGAGTACGTTTCTTTGCCATTCCGTGCCTTGGTTTCTCCATGGGGAGCACATCCTGTGGCCTCACTGAGCTGCTGGGAGGAACACGAGTGCGCCCAGTATCTGACACAAAGGGGACTCTGAATGTAACAGTGGCTCGTAGTGGCTTGAGTGGTAGACCCCAGAAAGATCTGTGCATGTCCTAATCCCTAGAATCGGTGACTGTTACCTTATCTGGAAAAAGGGTCTTTGCAAAGGCAATCAATCAAGTGGAGGAACCTGAGATGAGAGCACCCTGGGTTAGCCAGGTGCGTCCTATACCCTATGACAAGTATCTTTGTAAGGGACGGAAGAGGAAAAGACACAAGAAGAGAAGAAGGCCATGCGAAGACAGAGGAGAGAGTGGAGTGACGTGCCTACCAGGCAAGGAGCACCTGGAGCCCCCAGAAGCTGGAGGAAGCAAGGAAGAATCCTCCCCTAGAGCCACCAGAGGTTGCTGATGCACTATCTTTTTTTCCTAAGAGATGGGGTCTTGCTATGTTGCCCAGGCTGGGCTCGAACTCCTAGCCTAAAGCAATCCTCCTGCCTCAGCCTCCTGAATAAGCATCATCCTTTTTTTTTGAGACAGAGTCTCGCTTTCTTGCCTAGGCTAGAGTGAGTGCCGTGGCGTCAGCCTAGCTCACAGCAACCTCAAACTCCTGGGCTCGAGTGATCCTCCTGCCTCAGCCTCCCGGGTAGCTGGGACTACAGGCATGTGCCACCATGCCCGGCTAATTTTTTATATATATATCAGTTGGCCAATTAATTTCTTTCTATTTATAGTAGAGACGGGGTCTCGCTCTTGCTCAGGCTGGTTTTGAACTCCTGACCTTGAGCAATCCGCCCGCCTCGGCCTCCCAAGAGCTAGGATTACAGGCGTGAGCCACAGCGCCCGGCCTCTTCTTCTTCTTTTTTAAAGAGGTTTAAAAAAACAAATCAAATCCTCGTTTTCATCCCAAATATTATAAAACTCTTTTACAATACCGTGAAATGTGTAGATACCGGGCTGGTCTCAGCGGCCTGTGCTCTGGGAGGGCGTCTGGTTGTTACGATGTTGCCACCGTGATTCCCAGCCACGCAGCAACTGCACAATAACTGGGTACTTACAAGCTCTACTCATACTCCTTCTGGGATTGTTCAGGAAAAATCCACACCTGGGCTTTGTCACCTTCAGCCCGATCCCAATCCTTGGACTCTGCTGACTTTTCCTTCTTCAGCGACGTTAAGTTCCAGTCGTACTCTATGCTGCCGGATTCAATGGACTGGCCGTCAATTTTCACGTCGTAAGAAAGATCCGGCCTTAAGATCAGAGTGTAGAGGTGTGTAAAGGCATCAACCTGCACGTGTTGGGGGGAGGGAAGAGGGGTCACAATGAAACCCTTGATGTTTCAACGCAGGTCTAAACATGCAATGTACGACAGTCATCCGTGGAGCCACAAACAGCAAGAAGAGAAAAATCTAGGGGCATGGATTGATTTGACTATAAAAGGGTATCCTACCAAACAGCCACCCTTTTGTGGAATGCTTTCTCACTTTCCTAGCAGCCTTGAGTGATTGGTCCTCTTTGGGCAAAAGCAATGGCCCCACCTATCAACCCACGGGCAACTATGACCGGGTGGCAGGCATCAGCCAAAGGGCCACCATTTGCTGTTTAAGAAAAGTTAGATGAAAAACAACTTCCAGTTCTACATTCTGAAATAGAAAGATACCAGATGAAGCCCACTCTCAAATACATGTTTCTCTAGGTAGGGAAGAACTTCCTGATGCTCTGAGGTGTGCAGCCATTTGAGCTCTCTGGGGCGGGCCTGGTGCCTCTCTTCGTCACGGTTAGAGCCAGGGAAGCATTCGACAAATGCCCAACAAAGAAGGGAAGGAAGGTGGGGGGGCTGGGAAGGCGGGGGCTGGGGGTCCCTGGGACGTGCCTGCCTGTCAGCAGCAGGGCGGACCCTGCATGGTACTCCAGCAGGGGTTCTCAAAGCACGGCCCTGGCGAGCAGCATCGCCTGGGTACCCATGGGTGCCCATTCCCAGATCCACCCCCGACCGACCTGCTGGATCGGAACCCGGGTGGGCCCAGCAGTTGGTTTCACAGTCCCCCAAGATCGGGATGGTGCTAAGGGTTGAAAACCACTGCCCCACAGTCTCAAAGGCTCTGTGTCTCATCCCTACTAAGCGCCAACGCTAAAGGCCCTTCGGTTCCCGTGTGCACTGCCCCAGGGACAGGCTGCTGCTGTCCACTCTGTGGCTGACGGCTCTACCAGTCTGCTCTGTGTCCCCCTCTCGGCTTCTGTAGCCATTGTGACAGCTGAGTACCCACTTCTCCTAACACTCTTCTTCTCCTGTCCTCTGCCTGCCTTCCCCTCGACCCGCCCTCCCAATTTACATTTTGGGCTCCATCACCCCACTTGCCGGCCTGCACCAGGATTTGGCCATCGGCCCCCTGAGCGGTAAGGATGACTCCCGCACTGTGCTAATGGCTCCAAAACTGGCATCTTCATCCCCAACCACGTGCCTGAGCTTCAGATCTAAGTTTTCGACAACTTCCTGGGACCAGACACCTCTACCTGGATGCCTGCTAGGATTTCACACCAGCCGGTCCAAATACAAATCCTAATCTGTCTGAGGCGCCTCCTGGGCCTTTGTTTCCCCTCCCGGCTAATAAGAACACTGGGAGCCATGGGCTACCTCTGCAGTACTCACATACCCAATATCGCAGAGTCCCCCGTGTTCTGCATCCCCCACGCCTTGGCCTCTCGAGCTCATCTGGCCCCCCGCCCATGGACCAATTGCTGCTGCCCCTCCACCCATGAACACGCAAGTATTTTTCTAACACGCAAATCATGTCCCCTCCTCTTGAGAACCCACCACTGCCTGCAGGTGAGGGCCTGGACCTTTCCTCTAAAGCGTCGCAGAGTGAATCAGAGCCCCAGGAAGGTCCCTGTGCTCTTCCCCGAGAAGACCGTCATGCCCACTGGCTGCCATGGCTCAAGGCTGCTTCGACAGCAGTGTGGGGGGTCTTCTGCCGGTGTGCACTGTCCGGGGCCATGTGGACGTGCTGACCGAGGTGACCACGTCCTGGCCCCCCTACCGCCTGAGCTCCCTGGCACGTTCCAGGTTGGACCTCCAGCCCCCGTGGCATCCTCTTCTTGCTCTCCGCACAGCCCGGATGTGCAACCCAACGACTTCCAGGGAATCGGCCATAAAGACCTGCCCTGTGGCCCGCACGCTAAGGGAGGGGGGAAGACCGGGACGGTGAGTTCCCTCTCGCCGCCCCCCCCCAGGAAGGGTGCCAGACTGCAGAGCGCAGAGGGGACCCGCTGATCCTTTACAAACACCTTGTCAGTGGGTGGCACCTCGGAGAGGCACCGCCAGTCTCCAGGGTGTCCCAGGAGGCCAAGTGCTCCGCGGCGAGGCTCGGCACGGGATAAAGAACAGCTGTGGATGTTTCCCCTCCACGTGGTGGATGGTCTCGAACCGCCCTTGAGTTTCCTGCGCACTTTCATGGAGCGCCGCTAGGGTAGCAGTTCTAGGAACGCCTCAGGGGGCAGGTCCCCTGCTTCCTGGTGCTTATATGCAAACTGGAGGGTCGGGGTACTGGGGAGTGAGGGTCCCCTGCACCTGATACAAGTTGTCTCTTTGGAGAAGCCTGGGGCTGGGCCACTGGCAGCCACTCATGGCCACGTGAGTGTCCACCCAGCTCTATGTCCCTGCCGGAGCACAACTGAGTTACGAAGGGGGCCCTAAGCCGTATATACACACAGTGTTATTTTCATAGGATTCCCTGGGTACAAAGGCAAAACAGTATGAATATTACATTGTAGAAACAGCCTCTTTTAGAACGCTTTGGTGTATTCTGAAGATCACCTAATTTCTCCGGAATGTTTCTTTCATCCTGAGTATTTCATTCTTTAATAATGATGGACATGGCTGAAACGCGACTATCCTATTGTAACCCTCACGGGGCAAATTATAAAATGATGTCGTGGCTCACAGTTAGCAGCGAGTGTGCCCTCCTGATGGGGTAAAAACGTTAGAGAACAAATCAACACGGACAAGCATCTCGAGAGGCCTGCTGAATGTTTTCAGATCAAAGCTATTTTCTCTAAACTTAGTTATCATCAGACAAGAGTTGACACAATCATTCACTGGCATAGGAGAGCACTTACCTTGCACCGGATTGGTTTCTTGTTTGCATGATACTGATTCTTGAAATGTAAAATAACATGAACTTTCTTGATATCAAATCCACAAATATCAGGTCCTACACACACACAAAAATTAGCTGTTCTTAATTTCCTTCCATAATGCGGTACCATAGACTACCCCACCCCGACCATTCTTAGATACAAGAGACGTGGGAAGCATGTATGTCCAGGAATAATCACACTAAGGTATTTAGATGAGGGTCAACCCAGTGGCTCGCGCCTGTAATCCCAGCTACTCAGGAGGCTGAGGCAGAGGATCACTTGAGCCCAGGAGTTCAAGACCAGCATGAGCAAGAGCGAGACCCCGTCTCTACAAAAAATAGAAAAATTAGCTGGGTGTGGTGGCGTATGCCTGTAGTCCCAGCTACTTGGGAGGCCGAGGCAAGAGGATCCCTTGAGCCCAGAGTTTGAAGCTGCAGTGAGCTGTGATGATGCCACTGAATGCCTAGAGATGACAGAGTGAGACTCTGACTCAAAGAAAAAGATGTTAGTCTTGACTTCACAAAGCCATTGGCTAATGAAATAGGTGAACATACATAAATCATTTAGTAACGTCAAGGCTCGATACTTGTCGCCATAAGGATGCTGATGATGACAATGATACCCCGAAAGAACACATATTTATGTTCTCAATGATAAACACAGACCGTGAGCAAAAGAGAGAGTGTGATCAGTATCTAGGTTCTGACCAACTGTGCAATCTAGAGGGTTCCATTCAAAACTTAAGAACTTATAAATTGGCACTTACAGAGTTAAGTTTCAGTCACTAAGGAAATACAATTTCCTAGGACACTCTGTTCCAGGAGATGGGGCCATTTAAGAGACTGTGGCTTTCTGCCTATGTAAAAGGAGGTTTATAGGAGGTCTCTGGAAAATCCATCAAACCTGAGGATGTTTGGAATCAGCCCTGCTTTGGCTTTACTGACCTCAAACCTTAAGACTGTGCCAGAGAATCTGGCGTATTTCTGTCGTGGACGGAATTCTGTTATGTACATCCACTGACCCAGGCCCCGCCCCGGGCAGCCTGAGAGGCAAACGCAGGGTAAACGCAAGCAGACGCCTGCATGATTTCTTCCAGGTGACATGTAAGTGACATGAACTTGCAGTGATGACCCTCCAGAACAAACAAGAGCGATCCAAGCTCCTGTCACTATTTTATGAATACTATCAATTTGCCAGAAGTAGCTGCACTGAACTTGGAAATGGCATTCTGCGGGATTAGCAGCGAGCACCAGGTCTACGTCCCAGCTGAGTTCTTGAAGCACCTGTGTTTCTGTAACTGCCTTTGTCATCACTGAAGAGCATTCCAGCTCAATTTTTAAAACAAAAGCCATGCCATGTGAACTGTTAGTATGAAAGTCTAGTTAGGATGGAGACATGCAATTTATCTTTCTTCAAAAATGGACAGAATTTCCCTCTCTGTCCCTAAACACTTACACACTTTTTTTTTTTTTTTTTATGCTTCAGAACACACTCAGAACTGAATGCACAGGAAACCTGGGCATCATCCTTTAACAGCAATAATAAAATATTTATGCACACAGTGGATTTTCATGAGGAAATGTGGTAGACAGATGCGCTCTGAAGTCAGGTTGATCTAACTTTGGGTGAGTAGTTTAATCTCCCTGAGCCTCAGTTTCCTTATTTGCAAACTTTATGCATAACCTACGCATACATGTTTATGCAAATGTAAGGGTTCAGACAAGGGTCCAGTAAAATACATTTCCCTCCTCTTCCTCCTTAACACCCCACAAATCTGCAAGCTCCCCTTATACCAAAGGTGGGAGCTAACTCATTACAGGGAAGTGTTAAAAAGTGACAGAGGGGGTTTGAGTAAAATGGAACCAATTTTGAGTTAAAAACAAAGATATTACAGAAAATGTATTTTAATCATTTTTTCACTGAGAACTATGCTGTTTCGCAATTCAGATGTAGCAGATATATCTGCTATACGTAGTGAAAAGTAGTATTTTAGTGACTATTTCTGGTTATCTTCTTTATCAAATGTTAACAAATATTTGTGAAATCATCCCTAGTACAACAGGTTTTCCCCCTATATCTCTGCCATCCTGTTTTTCTTTTTTTTTCCAAAAAAAAGCCTGTTGCCCAGGCTAGCGTATCACAGTAGCTCACTATAGCCTTGAACTCCTGGACTCAAGCGATCCTCCTGCCTCAGCCTCCCAAAAAGCTCAGACTATAGGTCTGCGCCACCACATCCAGCTGATTTGTCTTATTTTTCCTGGAGACAGGCTCTTATTATGTTGCTCAGGCTGGTCTCAAATTCCTGGCCTCAAGTGATCCTCCCGCCTTGGCCTCCCAAAATGCTGGGATTACAAGCGTGAGCCACTGTGCTTGGCCCCTGCCATCCTGTTTTAAGAGAGCACTAACAATAACCAAAACCGAGATACTTTAATTTCTTTTTTTAATCAAAATAGACACCTTTTCCATTCCAGATTTCAAATTCAAGAGTAAATATTCATGGCAGAGTAGAAAGAACTCGGGGCAGGGAGAGAGGGATTGGCAAGTCGGTGGGGACTCTGCCTCTATCTCATGCTGTGGCCTTAGGGAAGTCACCTTGATCTCTAAAATGACTGAGTGAGATTATATCCACACTTGATCTTAGCCAAAAGACCAAGAAGTGATTGAGTGGGATTATACCTAACTCTAATACAGTTGTCTAATAAAATAGAAAAAATAGGTAATGTTCTTTCTACTCTTAAAACTCTGACTCTAAGTAACATTCATTCGACCAGCCGTATATATGAAAATATAAGAACAGCATGACCAGGTGTTGGAAGCCTGAAGCTGACAAAGAGAGATTCAGAGATAAGCATGAAAAACCAGACAAGGCAAAAAAAGTCTGCAGGCCGGGCGCGGTGGCTCACGCCTGTAATCCTAGCTCTCTGGGAGGCCGAGGCGGGCGGATTGCTCGAGGTCAGGAGTTCGAAACCAGCCTGAGCAAGAGCGAGACCCCGTCTCTACTATAAAATAGAAAGAAATTAATTGGCCAACTAATATATATATGCAAAAAATTAGCCGGGCATGGTGGCGAATGCCTGTAGTCCCAGCTACTCGGGAGGCTGAGGCAGGAGGATTGCTTGAGCCAGGAGTTTGAGGTTGCTATGAGCTAGGCTGACGCCATGAAAAGTCTGCAAGCCATCCATGTCCGGAGATGAAGAAGAGTTTTAAAAAACGACTCCCAAATTTGGATTCTGGATAACTTTTTTTTTTTTTTTTTTTGGAGATGGGTCTCACTATGTCGCCCAGGCTGGAGGACAGTGGCACAATCATAGCTCGCTGAACCCTCCAACTCCTGGGCTCAAGTGATCCTCCTGCCTCAGCCTCCCGAGTAGCTGGGACTACAGGCACACACCACTGTGACCACCTTGAATGAGTATTTTTGAAGTGCATTGTTCTTAAAGTGTTTCGAATCCACGTGCTACAGTTACGTCTATTTCCTATGCCTCAATGTAGTCCCTTCCCAGTTGTAGCACCAATGTTATTCAAGTGCCCCTGGTGACAGGAGATGTTTAATATATTCCAGAGATCCATAAGCTTTTTCTATAAAGGCCAGGTAATAAATATTTTCAGCTTTGCAAGTCCGACAGCCTCTGTCTTGATTTAACTCTGCCACAGTAGCTGGCTAGCGGCCACGGGCGATATGCAGATGAGCAGAGTGACACTGCATTCCAATACGACTTCATTTGCGGAAGCTGAAATTTAAATTTCATGTAATTTTCATGTGTCACGGGATATTATCCTTGCGAAATATTTGAGACTTCAGATTTTCAGATCTGACATGCTCAACCAGTTAAGAATAATGCAAATAATCCAAAATTCAAAAAAATCCAAAGTCCAAAACTTCTGCTCCCAAGCATTTTGGATAAGGGATTTTAACCTGTACGAGGGCTACATTATTGTTGAATAAATAACTTTTCCACAAGTGCAATGGTTCAGTTGCCCTTTTATAATATTAATTGGGTACAACAATGCTAAAAACCTTGGATCAGATATACTCAATGCTACTACCTTAGCTATGTTAGCAGCAAAGTCTTAGCCTAAAGATCCTATAGGTGGGAGAGTTTTTTTGCTTTTGTTTTTGTTTTTTTGAGACAAGAGTCTGGCTCTGCCACCCCACATAGAGTGCAGTGGCATCATCATAGCTCACTGCAACCTCCAACCCCTGGGCTCAAGTGATCCTCCTGCCTCAGCCTCCTGAGTAGCTGGGACTACAGGCATGCGTCACCACACCCAGCTAATTTTTCTATTTTTAGTAGAGACAGGGTCTCACTCTTGCTCAGGCTGGTCCAGAAGTCCTGGCCTCAAGTGATCCTCCCGCCTTGGCCTCCCAGAGTGCTAGCATTACTGGCGTGAGCCACACTGTGCCCAGCTGTTTTTTAAAGTCACCAGAAATGGTCGTGATGTATCTATATGGACTCACCAAACATAATATAGTAGTGTGATTTTCCATTCAGGTTCTTTTGATCCACGTCTGCAGGAAAGACCTTAATGTAGCCCCCTCCACAGTCCATCTTCTGCTCATGTTTCACTGTGTATTGAATGACCAGGGTTTTGCCTTTATTGCTGAACGGTTTGAAGCGTGCAGAGATGGCGTAGAATCGGCCATTCTGAGTGGTCTGCAGACCTTTAAACAAAAACCATTTGTGAAGGATTAGGAATGACATTGTGTTCAGTAATGCAGGGAGGTTAAACGGATGTCCTTCTCTCACTCCCAACAGTAAATGTCCTAACCATTTTCATCCATCCAGTGCCGATGGTACGCTTATACAATCATACACAACAGGGACACTGCTAACACGCTCTCTGCTTCCACAGAACTTCTGTGTCATGCATCTGGATGTTTCTGTACTTAATATGGCACTGTTAGGTTTTAAGTTACAAAAACACTTCAACTCTAAATGACAAATAGGCAATCTAATTACTGATAAAAGGTTAGTTTTGCCTCCATTCATCTTCCAAGGGGTGGGAATATACAATGAAGCTTATGTAGCAACTGAATAAAAAAATGGAACTCTCCATCCCCTTCCCTTCTTTCCTTCCCTTTTCCCTTCCCTTCCCATAAAAGGGAAGCATTCCTTTTCAGACAAGGTCTTGCTCTGTTGCTGGGCTACAGTGCAGTGGTGTCATCATAGCTCACAGCAACCTCAAACTCCTGGCCTGGGCTCCAGTGATCCTCCTGCCTCACCCTCCCGAGTAGCTAGGACTACAGGTGCACACCACCACATTTGGCTAATTTTTAAAATTTTTTGTAAAGATGGGATCTCACTATGTTGTCCAGGCTGGTCTCAAACTCTTGGCCTCAAGCGATCTTCCTGCCTCAGCCTCCCAAAGTACTGGTTTTACAGGTGTGAGCCACTGCACCCGGCCAGATCTATTCCTACTATAACCTACCAGATGCCATCATAAACGAACTTCGCATTTGGTATTCATGTGTCCAGACCAGAACTCATGGCTGACTCCCTGCTACCATACCTCTCTCTCCCCTCCATTCTTCACTCACCCTTCCCTTTCTCAGGGCATCCATAGCCCCTTTCTCTCCTCTCCCCTGCCCTCCACCATCCAGGCCATTCCTAAGGCCACGTGATTCCCTACCTCCCTTTGTGTCTTGCCACCTTCCTCCGACACCCCCATTCTCTCTCGCCACCTCTCACCTCTCACTAAATTCAACTCATCTTTCCACCCATGGCTTCTATGTCATGGTCCTAGGAGACCACAAGGACAGGGGCCATATTAACTGGTATCCCCAGGGCCTTACCCACGTCTACTCTCTGTAAACATGCAGTGAAGGAATGAATGAAATGCACAAAATCTCAGGGTTCCAAACCGAAGAAAGGAAAACGCGCGTGTGCGTGTATGTGTGTGTGTTCGTGTGTGTGTGTGTGTGTCACGGGAACCATTAGACTCTAAGTGGAAAATCCTATCTTTGGACAAGTTTCATGGAATAATTTGTTTATTTTTCACTTCATTTTTGTCACATACCTTGAATCTTGTCATATAGCTTGAATTTTTTCCAATCACCTGTGCCAACATGGATCTTATGAAATCATGCAAAGGGTCCAAAGCCAGGGGCTACTGGACTTAGGGCAACATTGCCGCAATGAGGGTGGAGGTTAAGTGGAAGGTGGTGACAAGTGAAACCTTTTCCGTAAGGCCAGATAGAAAATACAGTCGGCCCTTGAACAGCACGGGTTTGACCTGCACAGATCCACTTACACATGGATTTTTTTTTCCAATAAAAGTTACACTGAGTCTGTCTCTGCCTGTCCTACCTCTCCTTCTACCTCTTCCACCTCTGCCACCCCAGGCAGCGAGATGAACGCCTCTTCTTCCCCCTCTTTAGCCTACTCAATATGAAGATGAGGAGGAGGAAGACCTTTAAGAGGATCCACTTCTACTTAATGCATACTAAATATATTCTCTCTTCCATATGATTTAGTTAATAACAATTGTTTAGCTTATTTTATTATAAGAATATAACAGTATATAATATATACTAATATTTTTTTTTTTTTTTTTTTTTTTTTTTTTTTTTTTTTTTGAGACAGAGTCTCGCTTTGTTGTCCAGGCTAGAGTGAGTGCCGTGGCGTCAGCCTAGCTCACAGCAACCTCAAACTCCTGGGCTGCAGTGATCCTTCTGCCTCAGCCTCCCGAGTAGCTGGGACTACAGGCATGCGCCACTATGCCGGCTAATTTTTTTTTTTTATATATATATCAGTTGGCCAATTAATTTCTTTCTATTTATAGTAGAGACGGGGTCTCGCTCTTGCTCAGGCTGGTTTTGAACTCCTGACGCTTGAGCAATCCGCCCGCTCGGCCTCCCAAGAGCTAGGATTACAGGCGTGAGCCACAGCGCCCGGCCTATACTAATATTATAATAGTATATAATATATACTAATTATACTAGCATATAATATATACTAGTATATTATATTAGTATATAATGTAATATATATAATATATACTAACTATATTAGTATATAATGTATACTAATATAGTATATATATTATATATATATAGTATATAATACATATAACATACAAAATATACGTTAATCAACTATTTATGTTATCAGTAAGGCTTCCAGTCAACAGCAGTCTATGAGTAGTTAAGTTTTCAGGGAGTCAAAAGTTATAGGAGGATTTTCGGGTGCACAGGGGCCAGTGCCCCCAACCCTTGAGTTATTCAAGGGTCAACTAACTGTATTTCAGACTTTGTGGGCCATGTGGTCTCTGTCCCAACTACCCTGTCATAGACAATATGTAAATATAGCTGGTTTCCAAAAACAACTTCATTCATGGACACTAAGCTTTCACATACTTCATTGAATTTTACATAATTTTTACATCTCACAAAACATTATTCCCCTTTTGATTTTTTTTCCTCTCAACAATTAAAAAATGTAAAAAACCACTCTCAGCTCTCTGGCTATACAAAAACAGATGGCAGACCAGCTGTTGTTCGCTGATGTTTTGATCATCAGACATGGGAAGAAGCCAGAATAGAGATTATGCTTGGGGTCAAGAATGACTGGGGCAGGGTGGGGCATTCAAAGGAGTTCTCTTTGGGGAGGAAAACTGAAAACGTTACTTATCTTTTTTTTTTTTTGGAGACAGAGTCTCACTCTGTTGCCCAGGCTAGAGTGAGTGTTGTGGCATCAGCCTCGCTCACAGCAACCTCAAACTCCTGGGCTCAAGCGATCCTCCCGCCTCAGCCTCCCGAGTAGCTGGGACCACAGTCATGCACCACCATGCCCGGCTAATTTTTTCTCTATATTTTTAGTTGGCCAATTAATTTATTTCTCTTATCAGTAGAGACGGGGGTCTCTCGCTCTTGCTCAGGCTGGTTTCCAACTCCTCACCTTGAGCCATCCTCCTGCCTCAGCCTCCCAGAGTGCTGGGATGACAGGCGTGGAGCCACCGTGCCCGGCCAGCGTTACTTATCTTGACCTGCCTGTACCGATGTAAAAATTCATCCTGATGTACCCTTTACGTCCACAGTTTTTTTCCTTTTTACGTGAAAACAGAAATGAGAAGTACCCTCTCACTTTTACCCCTCAGATCCCTGAACTCATTTGATTAGGGCTTATGAGGCAGGGGTGATCTTGGGCAACAAAGAAAGAAAGAAAGAAAACAAAAAACAAGGAATGGGAGCGAGAGCCTTAGGGCGTGCCACGGCTACCTTGACAGGTTGCTAGGGAGGCTGAGCATTTTATTGTATTTTCCCCTGTCTTCGTTTTGTTTTCTCCTGATGCTACACTGACCTTTGTCTTTCTCTATGTGACCATAAAATTTCCCCGACGAGAGTCTGAAATGCCCGAATCGGGAGTCATTGGTGGACTGCACCCATCGGTTTCTCCAGCGCTCTGTGGAGGGAAACGACACCGGTTAGAGCCGAAAACTGTTCGTTCGAGTCCAGAGGGTGGGTGGCGGAGGCCCGTGGGGGAGGCCTGGGGACAGCGGCGGCTCCGGCCGTCTTGTGGCAGTGGGCGGCGGGATGGGGCAGCTTGCACCCCCCGCCACCACGGGCGTGGCCCCTTCACCTCCGTCTAGAAATTCCTCCTGGAAGTAGACGGCAGCGAGCGCCACCCGCAGCACGCAGACAGCCCAGAGCGCAACGCGAGCCCCCGCCATGGGGGCGTGCGCCGCGCGGTCTCTCTGGTGAACCGCCCCCTTCTTGGCTCCCAGGCTGTCTAGGCGGCACGCCAGGCCCGCCCCGGAACTACAACTCCCGTCACGCCTTGCGATTATGACCTGAGGCACCATCGCACCGCCCCCTCCCCTCCCCCCCCGCGCGGTGCTCGCCGGGCCCGCCCCTGAACCACCACTCCCATCACGCCTAGCGATTGTGACCTGGGGCGCCATTGGCCTCCCGGAGCGCGCTGTATGCCGGGAAATGTGGTATCTTTGTGCTCTGGCGCGGTTGCCAAGGGCAACGGTCCCCTTGGGGCCTGAGTGCCTTGGCCGGCGAGCGGAGGTGGCGGCCTCAGCTGAAGGACAACGTGGGAGGAGGTCGGCAGAGCCGGTGGGGCGGCGACCGGGCAGGGCGCCCGAGCTCTCGAGACGGGCTGCGGGGAAAAGGGGGGGGGGCGCGCTCCCGGGCCGGGCTGGGTCGGGCGGTCCCGCGCCTCAGTTTCCCCGTCTCTGGGGACCACGAGACCGTGTTCCAGCGCGGCCTCTTCGAGGCCGGAGAGCACAGCTTGAATAGTCTGAGGGGCGCCAGCGTGTTCAAAGTTTGTTTTGTTGATTTTTTTTTTTTTTTAACAACTTCATGGAGGCATCACCGGCGTCGCACACCGTTCGCCACTTTTAAGTGCACGACCCCGTTCTTTTTAGTGGATTGACAAAGTCGTGCCGACAGTCGCCACGATCTTGCTTTAGAACGCCCCAGGACCCAACGAGATGCCCGCTGTCCCTTTGCAGTCCACCCGGCTCCCAGCCCCAGGCCACCGCGCACCTGCGGAGTCTATAGATTCGCCTTTTCCTGGACGATTCTGACAAACGACACCGTCGTTAGTGTGTGTGGTGTCCTGGGTCTGGCTACTTTCCCTTCCGCGTATGGTGTGTTCGAGACTCTTGCATGCTGGTATATCAGTATTTGTTCTTTTCTTCTTCTTCTAGTTTATTTTTTTTCTCCCCCTTCCCCCCCAACTGCTAGACTTCCAGGGGTGTCCACTCCTTTTATTGCTGAAATAGTAATTCCACCGTAGGGGTGGACCATCGTACTTCATCCATTCACTAGTTAATGGACATTTGGGTTGTTTCCACTTTTTTGTGTGTTATAATAATAACAACGGTTATGAACATTTGCATACGTTTCCATTTTTCTTGGGCCACATGGGAATGGGATTGCTGGATCATATGGTTAAATAAACTCCGTGTCTAACTTTTTGAGGAACCACCAGACTGTTTTCCACATGAGAGCTGCACCATTTTACAATCCCCCAACAACTCATGATATTTCTTTACAATTTCTTTACTCCCTTGCCAACAATTGTTATCTGTATTTTTGATTATAGCTGTCCCAGGGGATGTGAAGTGGTATGTCATTGTGGTTTGGGCTTGCATTTCCTTAATGGCTAGTGACCTTGAACATCTTCTTATGTCCTTATTATTGGTTATTTCCATATACATTTTTATGTGTGTAAAACGACTGTTCACATCTTTTGCCTATTAGCTTATTTTTAACTGTGTGTTTTTAAAATATATATGTAAATAAGATGTTAGTAGTAGTAAAATATACCTGACATCAAATTTTCCTCCTTAACCATTTTTCATTGGTTAATTTATTTATTTATTTATTTATTTTTTTTTGAGACAGAGTCTCGCTTTGTTGCCTAGGCTAGAGTGAGTGCCATGGCGTCAGCCTAGCTCACAGCAACCTCAAACTCCTGGGCTTGAGTGATCCTTCTGCCTCAGCCTCCCGAGTAGCTGGGATTACAGGCATGCGCCACCATGCCCGGCTAATTTTTTCTATATATATTAGCTGGCCAATTAATTTCTTTCTATTTATAGTAGAGACGGGGTCTCGCTCTTGCTCAGGCTGGTTTTGAACTCCTGACCTTGAGCAATCCGCCCGCCTCGGCCTCCCAAGAGCTAGGATTACAGGCGTGAGCCACAGCGCCTGGCCAACATCAGCTATTCTTATACGTTGTCTTCCCTTTCTCCCTAGAATGGCTTTAGGAAGAAAAGCCAGCCGTCCGGCCCAGGATATATTTGGCGATTTCAGTGATATTTCCTTAGACTATTCAAGGATGGAAGACATCAGAAACTTGAAAATTGGTAGAAGTCTTACCAAAATAGCACCCGGCCATAGTAGATTTCTAAAAAGAAACCAAAGTCTGGGTGAAAACCACTTCCTCCTGAACGAGAACACCGTCTTGGGGAGTGGGCCCATGCTCGCTTTGGGGAGACCCCCTACCACGGCGTCGAAGGTCAGAGTGGACGCTGCGCTCACCAGGCTGGCCCGGATAGAAAGCAAAATCCTGAATCGGGCGGCGCGGGCTGGTTTGTCTGACACGGACTCTGACCCGAAGACCGCGGAGGCCAGTCTTCCAAAGACGGTGGACGAAACACCCCCAAGGAGGACGGCTGACCTTTCTTCCCAGGATACAGGCAAAATCTCCCAGAAACAAGCCCATGAACTTCCTGCCGCCGCCGAGAGCAATGCCCAGAACCCGAAGACCAGTAGGTTTCTAAAGAAGAAAGAACCCCCCATTCAGAACATAGCCCCTGAAGCACCTGCTACGAAAGAGAGGCCTTTTCAAACACCCAGACTCAAAGAACCTGCTAGAAAATTTGATTCTCCAGACAGTGATGAAGAGGAAATGAAAGCATTGCTGGGAAGCTTGATGGAATCTTCTAGAGCTGAGAAAACAGCTACGAATCAAGGCTTGACCAGCACTAAAGTGAGTGAGAAAGAACAAATCAAACTATTCTCGGTAAGGCTTTTAATTTATTAATTTTTTTTTTTTTTGAGACAGAGTCTCACTTTGTTGCCCAGGCTATAATGAATGCCATGGCGTCAGCCTAGCTCACAGCAACCTCCAACCCCTGGGCTCAAGCCATCCTCCTGCCTCAGCCTCCCAAGTAGCTGGGACTACAGGCATGCGCCACCATGCTCGGCTGATTTTTTCTACATATGTTAGTTGGCCAATTAATTTCTTTCTATTTTTAGTAGAGACGGGGTCTCGCTCTTGCTCAGGCTGGTTTCCAACTCCTGACCTCAAGCAATCTGCCCGCCTCGGCCTCCCAGAGTGCTAGGATTACCGGCGTGAGCCACCGAGCCCGGCCTAATTTATTAATTTTTAACAAAGCCTTAGCACTTGCTGCTGTCTGTCCTAACCCCAGGGACTTTCATGGCAGCTGTCACCCAGAAGTGACTTGAGGGAAGCATTTGATGCGGAATCATTAGGGTTTCGGCCAATCACAGATCTCCATTGTGGGCCTGGCCTAGGAGGGTCAGGACACGTGACACATGAGGCAGTTTTGTCATATCTGTGACTGGCAGCTGTATGTGCAGGGCGACGTGTGCAGTTGATGGCACACCAGCGGTGATCAGTTCCATTGGTGATCTGTGCCCACTTACCAGTGGCACCATGGAAATGTGGTGTTTCTTTTTTTAAAATTAAGGTGAAATTCATAAAACACAAATTAGCCACTTCCAAGTGCATAATTCAATAGCATTCATTACACTCAATTTTTTTTTTTTTTGAGACAGAGCCTTGCTTTGTTGCCCACGCTAGAGTGAGTGCCATGGCGTCAGCCTAGCTCACAGCAACCTCCAACTCCTGGGCTCCAGCAATCCTCCTGCCTCAGCCTCCCGATTAGCTGGGACTACAGGCATGCGCCACCACGCCCGGCTAAGTTTTTCTATATATATTAGTTAGCCAATTAATTTCTTTCTATTTATAGTAGAGACGGGGTCTCACTCTTGCTCAGGCTGGTTTCGAACTCCTGACCTCAAGCAATCCGCCCTCCTCGGCCTCCCAGAGTGCTGGGATTACAGGCGTGAGCCACTGCGCCTGGCCTATACTCACAATGTTGTACAACCATCATCTCCGTCTAGTTCCAGAACATTTCCATCTCCCCAAAAGGAAAGCCCGTTCCCATCAGCAGTCACTCCCTGTTTCCCCCTCCCCCAGCCCCTGGCAGCCACCAGTCTGCTTTCTGTCTCCATGGATTTGCCTGTTCTGGACACTTCTATAAATGGAATCACACAGGATGTGGTTTTTGCGTCTGTCTTCTTTCCCTCAGCATCATGTGTTTGAAGTTCATCCGGGTCGTGGCACGTGTCAGTGCTACTTCACTGTGTGCACGGACCACGTCGTGGTTACCCGTTCCTGAGCTGACGGATATTTGAGTTGTTTCCACCTTTTGGTTGTCGTGGACAGTGCCGCTGTGGACGCGGGTGGGCGTCCTGCATGGCACCACTACGCCAGGGCGCTGGCTGCTGGGAACGTTTGTGCATGAGTAGCTCTCTGAGTCCCATTTTCAGTTCTTCTGGGTACGTAACTAGGAGTGGAGTTGGTAGGTCACACGCCGATTCTGTGTCCAGCCTGTCGGGAACCCACCAAACTGTTCTCCACAGTGGCTGCGCCATTTTACATTCCTGCCAGCGGTACGTGAGGCCTTGATTTCTCCACAGCCTCACCAACACTATTATTCTTTTCTTTCCGTTTCTTTTCCAAGTTACAGCCATTTAGGGGCTGTGAAGCAGTCAGAGGGCTATGTTTTAAGGAAAAAAATCTGCATATTCATTTTGTTTTGAGACAGAGTCTCACTCTGTTCCCTGGGCTAGAGTGCCGTGGTGTCAGCCTAACTCACAGCAACCTCCAACTCCTGGGCTCAAGCGATCCTCCTGCCTCAGCCTCCCGAGCAGCTGGGACTACAGGCATGCGCCACCATGCCCGGCTCATTTTTTCTACATATTTTTAGTTGGCCAATTAATTTCTGTCTATTTTTAGTAGAGACGGGGTCTCGCTCTTGCTCAGGCTGGTCTCAAACTCCTGAGCTCAAATGATCCGCCCACCTCAGCCTCCCAGAGTGCTGGGATGACAGGCGAGAGCCACCGCGCCTGGCCTGCATATTCATTTTGATTCTCTTAAAGATCCAGGCCATCATGGATTATGTACCATTATGGCTGGTAGGGCCCTGATTGAGAAAATGTATGATTAACAATATGTGTTTGAAAGCAAAGTGATATTCCTGGTTATTGGCAGGGTATTTTCTAGTCCAGGCCTTATCTTATGTAAAAATTCTACCTGGACTTCTGGAAGGGAGGAGAGAAGGGAGAAAGGGTTACAGAGAAATACAAATTTGATCGCCGCAATCTTGGGCGCATGCTCTCCACCAGCCGCACTGTTTGTTGACTCATAAGGGCTCAGTTCTCCTAAGTTTGGTAATTCCGTGTCTATTTCATCAGATCCCGACACAACCAAGAGTCCTCCCTCGCCCTGACGCGGAACTTTCCAGCTCACAGCCTTCTCGGACGTCACGCCTGCCAACCTCAGCAGAGGGGACCCTTTGCAGCGCCCGCCCAAGATCTCACTCCGCAGAGACCCACGTTTCCAGTGACACGGCCTCCCCCACGCCGTCAGTTGCTGTCACGGGTGCCTTCTCACAATCAGTGTCTTCGATGATGGGGCACGTTAAGCTCGCGTCCTCCCCCGAAAGGAGCGAGGCCGGGCCTTGGGACGGGTCCGTCTCAGAAGCTGCTGATGACAGCCTGAACGGTAATCCACGTCCTGGTGCTCAGTCACTACCCCAGACAGGAAGGGCGAGGCCACCTGTAGGGTCCCCGGCTCAGCGGGGAGCAGGCATTTCCCCGGGCAGTGAGAGCTGAGCCCTCAACTTCCTAACTTCTCCTGGTTAAGGGGCCGAGTCTGTCTTTAAAATCTTCCCCCAGAGTCTTAGTTCAGAAGTTCGGGCTGCTCCAACAGGGTCCTGCAGGCTGGAGGCCCGAGATCCGGGCGCCCGCAGCGCAGGGCTCTTGGCGAGGCCTCTGCCCCTGGTGTCCTATCCAAGCCCAGTTGCCTCCCGAAGCCCCCAGTGTGGTGGGGTTAGGGCTTCAACATGGAGGTTTGGGGGTGACACAAGCAGTCAGGCCCCAGCACCCAGGAACTCCGACCTGGGAGAAATTTTTCTCGAGCCATGTGCAACCAAAAGGCAACGTCGTTTTTCCTAGTTGTGAAAGGCAGAATTGCTCCTCTCGCAATTCAGAAAAGGAAACAAATCTCTAACCCATCAAAAGCAAACCTTTTTCTATTGTTTCAACATTGTTTTGATTTTTTTTTTTTTGAGACAGAGTCTCACTCAGTTGCCTGGGCTAGAGTGCTGTGGCGTCAGCCTCGCTCACAGCAACCTGTATATATATGTAAATAAGATGTTAGTAGTGGTAAAATATACCTGACATCAAATTTTCCTCCTTAACCATTTTTCATTGGTTAATTTATTTTTTGTTTTTATTTTTTTCAATATGAAGGGGAGAGTGTGGAGGGGGGTTCAGTCCCTTCCCCCCTTTTTTTTGAGACAGTCTCAGTCTATTGCCCAGGCTAGAATGCAGTGGCATCAGCCTAGCTCACAGCAACCTCCAACTCCTGGGCTCAAGCGATCCTCCTGCCTCAGCCTCCCGAGTAGCTGGGACTACAGGCATGGGCCACCATGCCCGGCTCATTTTTTCTATATATTTTTAGTTGGCCAATTAATTTGTTTCTCTTTTTGGTAGAGACGGGGTCTCACTCTTGGTCAGGCTAGTCTGGGACTCCTGACCTTGAGCGATCTGCCCGCCTCGGCCTCCCCGAGTGTTGGGATTACAGGCGTGAGCCACTGCGCCTGGCCCTTCATATCTTTCTAAACATTTATGGAGTAAATAAGGGAGTAAATGTTGACATATTAATTTTTTTTTTTTTTTTTGAGACAGAGTCTCACTTTGTTGTCCAGGCTAGAGTGAGTGCCGTGGCGTCAGCCTAGCTCACAGCAACCTCAAACTCCTGGGCTTGAGTGATCCTTCTGCCTCAGCCTCCCGAGTAGCTGGGATTACAGGCATGCGCCACCATGCCCGGCTAATTTTTTCTATATATATTAGCTGGCCAATTAATTTCTTTCTATTTATAGTAGAGACGGGGTCTCGCTCTTGCTCAGGCTGGTTTCGAACTCCTGACCTTGAGCAATCCGCCCGCCTCGGCCTCCCAAGAGCTAGGATTACAGGCGTGAGCCACATCGCCCGGCCGACATATTAATTTTTTGATTACAGAGTATAGAATAAATATTTTATCCCTCGACGATCTGGCTCCAGCTGTCAGTGAGAACTCAGCCGAGGAACAGGAAGTAAGTATGGCGAAGTCATTTTTGATTGTAGATTGTTACGTAGACAGGCTCGCACCTGCAACGTTCCATTTAGGCCAGTGGCCCTCAATTCTGTCCCCCAGGGACATTGGCAACATCTGGGGACATTTGGCTGTCACGATTAGGGGGTGGCGGGTGTCACTGGCATCGCTAGTGGATGAAGGCCAGGAACGCCAGTCCCCTGTGTCAGGAGTGCAGCCGCTGAGAGCCCCTGATGCAGGTGATGAGAGGATAAAGCTGCTTTATTCGGCAGGTGATTAAAGAACATTCCGCCTAAACCACCCACAGCAAGGGCTGCACGAGGAGCACTCAGCAGCTGTGCCCGTCCGAGCGCGAGCTGCGATTTCTGCCCTGCTGGCAACCGCTGTCAAATGCACGTTTCAGTGATTCCTAGCGATGGGGCTTTAGATTTCATCCCTGTGCCACTAAACACGCTTTGGGCCGCTGTGCACTAAGCAGCCCTGCGCGGACGCGCCGGCGACGTGTGGGTGGAATCCTGCGCCGGCCCCGCCGCCAGTCCCCTGCTTCTAGGGGTGTGGCGTTTTTAGCGTGTTGATCTTTCAAGAACACTTGCCAGTGACCTCTGCTGCCCTTCGTTTCAGAAACAAAGTGCCCAGAGGGGAAAGCCGCCCTGCAGAAGCCCCAGAGCCGCGGCCTCTGCCGGGCAGGGCGCCCCAAGACGCGCCTGGGCGCGGGGCTCGGCGGACGGGGACGAGGGCCTCCCCAGCGAGAGCGCCTTCTCGGAGCATCTCAGTGCCAGCTCGGCCTCCGCTGCCCGGCGGGACGGCGCTGCCAGCGTGCGGTTGTCATCTGCCGTGCCCGCGGGGAGCGCCGCGAACTCCGCTTACTCTGCCGACTTTGAAAACCCTCCAAGTCCGACGGCATCCGAGCCAACAGCCCGTTCCAAGGAGTCTCTTGACAGGACACTGGACTCTTTGTCCGAGTACTCTTCAAGTCTGAAGACGGACCTTGTCCCACGGACATCCAAGTCCGGGAAAAAGTGGGGCACGGGTGTGACAAGAGTCCTCGTGAAGGAGACAGCGGTGCAGACTCTGGACCCCGCCTTCGCCTACCAGTGGACCCAGGGTGAGTGTGGCCGTGGGGGCCAGGGCAGGGGGACAGGTGCTCGGTGTGTGGCCCACGGCATCCTGGGAAACACACGGAAGAGCCTGGGTCCCCGAGATCTGGCGCTTGTCACTAATTAGCTGGGGGAGGGACCCCAGGCCCCGGTCTCCTCCTCCACGGATGGGGGGCAGCTGTCCCGGGTTTCCAGTGTCTTCCTAGTCTAAAGCGTCCAGAAGTTTCAGAGCCAACACCAGGGCAGTGGGTTTCAACCGGTGACGCTGCCACGGGGCCTGGAGGGCGGGGGCTCTGGCCGGTGCTGGGTGGGGCCGCGACGCCGCCCATACCCTGCCACGCGCAGGACGCCCCACCCTAGCGTGGACCTGCCTCCAAGTGGGCGCCGGGGTAGGGACGCCCTGGAGGAGGGAGAGCGAGAGGTGCCACGTGTGAGCCTGGTGACTTGTCACATGGCGCCGGGGCTGGCGCTGACAGAGACTCCGGTGGGTCTGTGCCCGTGGAGGTGGCCTCGTCGCAGGTCTGGCTGGTTGCCAGAACCCGGCGTCGCCCCTGTGGAGTCCACGCGGGCGCCCGCGGTCTCCCGACGCTCACGCGTGCCACCGGGCAGGCCTCGCTCCCGCTCCCCGCCGTGCGCAGTCTCCAGGGGCCACCCCATCCTGGTCTGTGTTTTAGGACGCGGTGACGGGGCCGCTGCCCCCCGCGCTCCATCTGACTTTCCAGCTGTTTCTCTCAGTCCCAGCTTCAGCCTCCACCCTCCCCGTGGAAGGCTTCCTTCAATCATTCCTCTGTTCCCTTTGCTCGTCCAGACAGCTCTTAACAGTGCAGACTGAGATTGTCCCTTCCTTGGATCTGCTCTTTTGTTTAGAGACAGGGTCTCATTCTGTCACCTTGGCTGGAATGCAGTGACACGGTCATAGATCACTGCAACCTGGAACTCCTGGGCTCAAGCCATCCTCCTGCTTCAGCCTCCCAAGTAGCTGGGACTACAGGTGTGTGCCTCCACGCTGGCTAATTTCTTTCTATTTTTGGTAGAGAGGGGGTCTTGCTCTTGCTCAGGCTGGTCTCAAACTCCTGACCTCAAGCAATACTCCCACCTTGTCCTCCCAAAGTGCTAGGATGACAGGTGTGAGCCACCGTGCCTGGCCTCTACAAAAAATTTAAAAATGTTCTGGGTGTGTCAGCGCCCGCCTGTAGTCCCAGCTACTTGGGAGGCTGAGGTAGGAGGATCACTTGAGCCCGGGAATTGGAGGCTGCAGTGAGCTATGGTGGCACCACTGCACTCCAGCCCAGCCTGGGTGATGGAGGGAGACCCTGTCTCTAAAATAAGACTGTATCACAAAAAGCGAAGGCCAGCATGGTGGCCATGATGTTCAGAAAAAGGAAAGAACAGCTCACATGGTTTACTTCAGCGTCAAATCCGTGGACGAGAAAGTCATTGCTTTGTGTCCTGCCCACTCACCCCCTCCCTTTGTCCTCGAGACAGCAGCCAGCGTGGCGACGATCGGGCCTGCCCTGGGAGGCGCCTACGTGGACCCGATACCCATTGCCAATCACGTCATCAGTGCGGACGCAATAGAAGGTAACAGCCCGACTTGGTGGGTCCTTCCTGTGACAATTTACAGACTGCATCCGACCTGCAAACTCACGCCCACCCTGGAGGTGTGGCACCCCTTTAGTGCTGGGTTCAAGGAATCCACTGGGTGGCAATTATCGCAGCCAGGGACAACTGCCACAGTTGACAGGATCCCAGATGACAGGCAGAGAGCATCCTTGAACCTTCTGCCTCTTGCAGAGGGACACCAGTGTCACACAAAACAGGAGGGTGAAGAACAATAGGCCTGCAAACCCTCCACCCCAACAAGGCTACTCTGTTGTGCGTCACCGGGGAGCCTTTCTGTCTCTAAGGCACAGTTTTTTTCCCTGAGGACACTTATGTTTGATCAGTACTGAGCAGTAGCCACAGGCGGGGCGGACATGTCCCTTGCCTCCTGGGCTGAGTCCGGGCTGTCTGTGTGGAGCTGGGAAGGGCCCCAGCCTGGCCTGGAGCGTGAGGAAGGCACCCCAAAGCCACCTTAGAGAGTGTAGACTCGGCCCAGTCCCCATGGAGCCCCTGAAGGCTCATGTGATAGAAGTTAAGAGTCTATCTGGGGCCGGGCGCGGTGGCTCACACCTGTCATCCTAGCACTCTGGGAGGCCGAGGTAGGCAGATTGTTCGAGGTCAGGAGTTCAAAACCAGCCTGAGCAAGAGCCAGATCCCGTCTCTACTATAAATAGAAAGAAATTAATTGGCCAACTAATATATATAGAAAAAAATTAGCCGGGCATGGTGGCGCACACCTGTAGTCCCAGCTACTTTGGAGGCTGAGGCAGGAGGATCGCTTGAGCCCAGGAGATTGAGGTTGCTGTGAGCGAGGCTGACGCCACGGCACTCACTCTAGCCTGGGCAACAAAGCAAGACTCTGTCTCAAAAAAAAAAAAAAAGAGTCTATCTGGTACCTATGATTTTTTTTCCCTTTTTAATTTTCTTAATAGGATTTTTTAAAAAAAGTATGAAGATAATAAAATATACCAGTTAAAACAAGAGAAATGTATCTTTTTTTTTTTTTAAAAAAACTTAACAACCTGTTTTTTCCACTTAACATTACCTCAAAGATTTTTCTATGTTACCAAGTAGTCCTTTTGTTTTTTAATTTTAAATTTTTTTATTTCAGAACATTACAGGGCCAAGTAGTCCTAATAATGATCATTTTTAACAGATGCCCAGTTTTTATTTTTAATTATATTTTTCAAATGTAGTAAACATTTCTATTTGTATTTTTAACTTTTTTATTTCTGATTTTTAATGATTTTAGTGTTTCAAAAAGACATAACCTTTTTTTTTCAATTTCCACTTTACAGATGAAAAAAGACATAACTTTTATCCTCATAAGCATTTTTGTGTGTGTAGGTCAGTAGCATTAACTACAGTCACATTGGCGCAGCTGTGCAGTTTTTATGCCAATTTACTAGACTTTAAAAAATTTTTTTATTGGAATATCATAGTTGTGTTTTTGGGGTTCCTGTGCTATTCTGATAGCTATATATGACTTGTAATGATCAAATCAGGGTAATTAGATACCCCTAGCCTCAAATGTTTATCTTTTTTTTTGAGACAGAGTCTCGCTTTGTTGCCCAGGCTAGAGTGAGTGCCCTGGCGTCAGCCTAGCTCACAGCAACCTCAGACTCCTGGGCTCAAGCGATCCTCCTGCCTCAGCCTCCCGAGTAGCTGGGACTACAGGCATGCGCCACTGTGCCTGTCTAAGTTTTTCTATATATTTTTAGTTGGCCAATTAATTTGTTTCTATTTTTAGTAGAGGCGGGGTCTCGCTCTTGCTCAGGCTGGTCTCGAACTCCTGACCTCGAGTGATCCACCTGCCTCGGCCTCCCAGAGTGCTAGGATTATAGGCCTGAGCCACCACTCACTCTGGGCCCTCAAATGTTTATCTTTTCTTTGTGTTGGGAACATTCCAATTCTCTTCTAGCCCCCACCCCCTCTTTTTTTTTGAGACAGGGTCTTGCTGTGTCGCCTGGGCTGGAGTGCAGTGGCGCCATAGCTCACTGCAGCCTCCAACTCCTGGGCTTAGGCGTGCATCACTGCACCTGGCTAATTGTTAAATTTTCTGTAGAGTTGAGGTCTTGCTATTGCCCAGGCTGGTCTTCTAGCTATTTTGAGAATTCACCAGACTTTTTTTTAGTGTTTGGTATTTAGGTTAAAACTTCCACTTTTGCCTGGGAGCCGGGCAGGGACCACATGTGCAGCTCTTGAAATCCGCACACCACTAAGTAGAAGGCGATTCATTTATTAGAGCATCGAGACAGACAGGAATAGGTGAGGCCTCTGCCACCCCAGAGGGTGGCCGTCCTTCCAGACAGCAGCCTGACGGTACTAGGCCGCTGGGCACGGAGTTGGGGGTGGGGGTGCAGAACTCATGGGGCCCCAGTGGAGCCGCTGAGTGACACAGCGTGGGGACAGCCCTGACAGCCTACAGCCCGGCAGTGCTGGCCCTAAACGACATGCTGAAGCAGCAGCTGAGCCTGACGCAGCAGTTCATCGAGGCCAGCCGTCACCTGCACGTCTCACTCCTGCAGTCCCTGGACCACGACTCCTTTCACTACCACACCTTGGAGGAAACCAAAGAGGTGACCTGAGCAGAGCCGCGTCTTCCCCAGGCAGGGGGTGGGGGCAGAGTGTCAGGGTGGGGGCAGCTCTGAGATGCCCGTCGGGGTTTGGCGCTGCAGGGATGTGTTGAGGCTGTCACCTTTTGTCCTTGTCGAAGGAGCCTCGTTCCCTCCTTGTTCTGTGACGAGCTGGTGCGGGGGGCGGGGGGAGGGGGACCGAGCACCTAGGCCTTGCAGCTGCCCAGCCTGGCCTCTGTGTGACCTCGGACCAAAGGGGACCTACTCACTGAGGCACTGTCTCCTCCTCCCTTTCACGGACCCTCTGAGGGCCACCTGAGGTGGGGCTGGGGTGGCCCAGCCTTTCTCCTGGGTCCCTTGGGCCAAAGCCCAAAGGATGTCACCTTCACTTTCCTTTTTTCCCCTCCAAAATTTTTTTTTTCTGATTACCAAAAAATATGGGCCTATTTTCTAAAAATCCCATTACAGAGGTGTGTCATTTACAGTCCCCCATCGTTTCAGGGATAACTGTTACCAAGTTAGTGTCTCTTCTTTCAGATTTTCCCTGTGCAGAGTATAAACTGTATTTGTGTATTTCTTCTTAGAAATGGTGTTATACTATATGCAGTGTCCTTTATAGAAATTTTTTTAAATGTTTACATACCAACATGTTAATTTGTATTCCTAAAAAATGACTTTAAAAACATAAAGGCAGGCCGGGCGGGGTGGCTCACACCGGTAGTCCAGGTACTTGAGCCCAGGAGTTGGGGGCCGTAGGGAGCCGTGATGGCGCCACTGCACTCCAGCCTGGGTGACAGGGTGAGACTCTGTCTCAGAAAAATAAAACTAAACACCCCCAAAAACAAAAAAGTAAAATCATAAAGCCATGTTAATGCCCAAACCAAATTTCCTTAGCGTCCAGCAATAGCCAGTGCTCAGATTCCTGCTCGTCTCACTAAAGTTGTACATTCTGTTCCCATTTTATAAAACCAAATTCACTTTTTATCTGGACTCAAAGTCTGCAAAATTGATTTTCTTCACCAAAAATAACGGCAATATTTTCCGTATTATTTCTAGATAGACCACAAAACCCTTGTTTTTGTAGCTTCTCCAGGTTGTGTGTAAATCAAGACGCGGCAGGAGGTAAAGTCCTGGGGAAAAGACAGAAGGCAGCAAGTCAGTTGTCAGGACCCGCGGCCTCGGGCTGCCGCTGACCCACGACTTGCTGAAACGTTTGGGGAGATAAAGGCGGACAGGGAACGGCACGGCGGCAAGCACACGGGGAGGCACGGCAGGCTCTCCCGCTCAAACTTTAACTGTCGTTTCGCTCCTATTTTGTAGCCAGGCCCAAAGTCCACACGCTGAGACTGTTTGATGTGCCTTTTGAGCCTTTTAATCTAGAGCAGGAACTGGTTCTCAGCCCCGAGTGTGTCAGAGTGCCCTGGTGGCCCGTCAGAGTGTGAGAGCCAGTGCTGGGCCCTCCGCAGGGGGCAGGGCGCTCCTGCCGCAGCTGCCTGGGGTCCCACTTTCTACAGGTCATTCCCCCTCCCCTCCTTTACGTCCTTGCAGTTTATTGCTTTATGTGTTTTTTGGAGGCAGGGTCTTCCTCTGCTGCCCAGGTTGGAGTGCAGTGGCGTCATCAGCTCACTGCAGCCTTGAACTCCTGGCCTCAAGTGATCCTCCTGCCTCAGCCTCCCGAGTAGCCGGGACTCCAGGCACATGCCACGCCTGGCTAATTTTTAAACTTTTTGTAGAGATGGGGTCTCGCTATGTTGCCCAGGTTGGTCTGGAACTCCTGGCCTCAAGCAATCCTCCTGCCTTGGCCTCCCAAAGTGCTAGGATTATAGGCGTGAGCCACGTGCCTGGCCCAGTTTATTTACTGAAGAAAGCAGGTCGGCTGTCCCATAGGTTCCCACATTGTGGACGTTGCTGATTGCACCTCTTTGGGGTCTTTTAACTTGTTCCTCCGTGGGATGTACGTCAGCTGATCCAATGCAGGTTGAAGTGGTGTGCTCACATCACCTGCCTACAACCCACCATGGCTCCCCGCTGGCTGCTCAAGGCCCACGTCCTGAGTGTGGCACCCATGCCCTCATCCCCAACCCCACCCACTCTGAGGGCACCCACAGGTACCCCTTCCTCAGGGCTCACCCTTGTGTGGCATCCACCGGGCCTGCCTGGGCATCCTTCTCCCCTTCTGTTTCCATAGTTCCTGGGCACTCCTGTGTGCCAGCTCTGGTCACATGGCGTCCCATCCCTTTTCTGTCAGCGCAGCAGGCCCCCGCCAAGGGCACGCCCTGTGTGTGCTCACTGCCTCAGGGCCCAGAAGCCACGGGGCACACACTAAGGCGGGTGGTGGTGATGGCACCTCTGTCCTCTGCCCCACAGTACATCAGGCGCCACAGGCCCGCTCCGCTGACCATGGAGGACGCCCTGAAGGCGGTGGAGGCAGAGCCGTGAGCGCCAGCAGGTGAGGCTGGTGGGGCCCCACCTAAGGACTGTCCTGGACACCCGCCCCACACACAGGGCAGAGGCGTGTCCAGTGGGAACTCCGTGGTGGGGGCAGGGTAAGGGCACAGGGTTGTCCTGAGCCAAATCCCAGCTCAGCAACTGAACCCCCCAGCCACCGTCTCTTTGGTGGGTTGTCACGAGGAGACAGCAGGCCCAGCACGTGGGAGGACGCCCCACAGGCACGTGGAGCTGCAGTCACGGGTGGAGCTGTCCGCCGCTCACAGCAGGACGGGGACGCCAGGCTCCGCAGGGCAGCTCTGCTCAGCCAGCGAGCCGAGGGCGGCCGTGCGGCTCACAGAAGCCCCGATGGGTTCCGAGGACGAGGACGCAGGACTTGGTCGCCGCACTGGCGACTGCAGGCCGCCAGGGCAGAGCAGCTGAGCCCAGAATATGCCGTCGCCTCCCTCAGCCTGAGTCCACTTCCGACTTAAACATGCAGAAGAAAAAGGTCTTTAAAAAAAAGTCTTTATTTGAAGGCAAAACAGTAAAATCCACAAGAAAGTGTTAACAGCACGTGTTTATGTTTTATCCCGAATCAGACAGGTTTGAACAATTCACAGCTACAGGAAATCTAGAACAGAATCAAATATTTTATCACATTGGGTTGAAAAGGTGGAGAGGAATTTGCATCTTATTGAAAAGAGGTTCTCAAAAACGTTTCTGTACAAATAAACGGCACCGCCCCGGCTGCCCAGCCACACCAGGCGTGGCTGACCCCGGCGGTCACCGCAGCTTCCGGCAGGGACAGCTCCCCTGCTGGCCTCCCCTCCCTTCTGGGGGCGGGGAGGGGTGCAAACGAAAGGGCAGAGCAGAAGGCCCCGGTGGGTGGGAAGGGCTGTCGCGCTGGTGCGGGCTCTCCTAGGCGGGAAGCTCGCGGGCGCCAGGCGCAGGCGCGGAGGGCCGCGCTCCTGGACCCGAGGATGCCGTGGACTGGTTTCCTGTCAGAACCTTCCGTGTCTCCAAATAGCAAATGGCTAACATTCCAGGAAAAAAATCAACTTACACAACTAAAGTAATCGAACTAAGGGCCGGCGTGTCTCAGAGGATCAGGTTTCAGCGATCTCACTGGGGATCGTCTCGGGTCGACATCTTCTAGAACTAAACCAATGGGAATACAAACGAAAACCCTGCTTAACGCTGCCAGTCAAAAAGGTTTTGTTTTCTGTTTCTCAATCGCGAGCAGTCCTGGCGCCGGCTGTGGCTTCGTCACTGCACAGCCAGAGGCGGCAGGCGGGTGGCCCGCCGGCTCTGCGCCCCTTAGAGCTGGTGGCGGGAAGGTGCACACCTCCGTTCCTTCGGGGACGAAGAGCTCTTACTCGGGGGGCGGAGGGTCTTGCGTGTCTTGCTTCGCTGCAAAGGAAACAAGCCCACGGCCCTGGTGGCTGCGGCGCCTCCTGGCGTGCTTTGCAGGCGGAGCCCGTGCCCTGCCGCGCAGCGAGCGTGGCGCTCCCGGCTAGGCATGCGTGAGTCTTCTCTTGTCGTTCCCCACATGTGGAGACCGCGTGAGAACTAAGCTGTCACTGCGTTCTTCCACTGCCAGCAAGCCGGGACGGTCCCCACAGCCAGTGCCCCGGCCGCGGCTGGCTCCTGGAGCCGGCCTACTTACACTCATCCCTGGCCTTCATGCGCGCGATGAAGGAGTAGCTCTTGTTCCGGCGGTAGTTCTCGTAGGGGTCGTCCAGGGCCACGCCCACACCCTTGTACTGGTCCCACTTATCCCGGACGTCCCCCCCCTTGATGGGGTCCTGGATCCCTTGCTCTTTCACACCGAGGCCGCCGGAGCCACTCCAGCCTTAGGAGAGAGGGACGCAGGGTTACCGCACGCGGAACAGGCCGGACCGCGGGCCGCCCGGGGAGCTGAGGGACATGCAGAACCCGGCAGCTCGGGAGCGTGCAGCTGACGCAGGAAGAACCCGGCAGGAACCCCACGGGCCCTTTTTTAGAAGCTCTAGGCATGAGTCAGATCTGATGCCACCAGTCCCCGTGTGCACAGGGCAAAGACGGCACTGCCAGCTGCCAACCCCAGCGCGCCGGGCGGTCTTCAAGGGGCCTTACCCATCTTCACCAGCATCTGGTGGCCTTTGTTCTCCTCTCCGAGCCGCGAGTCAGGTATGTGAGGTGCTGAATTAGAACCCAGACCAGCGGAGGAACTAAAGTTAAGACAGGCATGTTTTTGTAAGAAACAATCGGAGCATTTATTAGAATGACGATTACTAGGATCTCACAGCGCGTAGCTCACGTAAAGGTTCACTATGGTCAGGACACGCACGTACACGTATTTCTCATCCCTACCGCCACTCTTAATCCTCCGTCAGCCAGATGAGGCGTCCCTCAGCTAACCCGTCCCACACTTAGCGTCTGAGCAGGTCACATCGAGCCCCCCAGGTGGTTAGGAAGCGCAGAGCCCAGCCACCACCCCAGGCTATGCACGGTGACTACACACGCCCCACAGGCTATGCACGGGTGGGCTATGCACGGGTGGGCTATGCACGGGTGGGCTATGCACGGGTGGGCTATGCACGGTGACTACACACGCCCCACAGGCTATGCACGGTGACTACACACGCCCCACAGGCTATGCACGGGTGGGCTATGCACGGGTGGGCTATGCACGGTGACTACACATGTCCCACAGGCTATGCATGGGCAGGCTATGCACGGTGACTACACAGGTCCCACAGGCTATGCACGGGTGGGCTATGCATGGTGACTACACATGTCCCACAGGCTATGCATGGGTGGGCTATGCACGGTGACTACACACGTCCCACAGGCTATGCACGGGTGGGCTATGCACGGGTGGGCTATGCACGGTGACTACACACGTCCCACAGGCTATGCACAGGTATGCATGTCCCGCACGGTGGTGTGGGACGAGCAGGTGGCACAGTCTCGGCACCGGCCACCACACACACGTCTTAACAACAAACGTTTACGCATCTGTAGCAAAGCAGAGCGTCCCGCACCGCCAGCGGGCCGCGGTTAAGACGGAAATCTTACGGCAGGGTGGGGCTCCTGGACCGCGACCGCCGCCGCCGTCCCGGGGAGTACGACTTGGACCGGGACCGGGACCGGGACCGGGAGCGGCTTCTCGAGGAGCGCGATCTGCTCTGGCTCCTGCGGGCGAGAGTGCGGGGTCAGCGGCGGCCTGGCCGCCACGGGGAGCCGCAGGGAGAGGCGGTGCTCGGCCTACCTGGACCTGGAGCGGGAGTACGAGCGGGAGCAGGAGCGTGACCTCGACCGCGAGTACGAGCCTGACGACTTGGAGGATCTCGAGTTGGAGGGGGAGGAAGAACGCCCTCGGCTCTTGGATCTGCTCCGAGACCTCGAGGGGCCACTGCGGGGAGAAGCCTGGTAAGGGGGAGCACCAGAGCCCTCGCGGCCTACAGGCCACGCCCAGCCCACCCCGACCGGGTTCCTGTAGACGGCAGGTGTCGGGGTCTGGGTGTGGACAACCTTCTCGCCGCTGTCAGCTCGGCCTGTGGGAACTGCGCCCAGCGCCTAGGCCCGCAGCACCGCCATCCCGCAGCCAGACTGGGCAGAGCCCAGACCGGACTTCCCATGGCCCGTGCGAGGGCGTGAGTGACAGCCATGTCAGATTCGCACTAAGCGGCCAACGTAACCGTGGCCAGGGGAGGCCGGCCGATAGCCGTGCGCACACAGGCAGTGCGGGGCCGACCAGACGCCTGTCCTCACCTGTTCCGCTTTTCCTGGCCTTTCCTCCGCCGGGCCCGCATTTTCGCTCGGAAGAACTCATAGAGGCCGTTCTGCTCCCAGCCTTCGCTGCAAGACATGGCGTCCTCCGTGACTACACAACGCCCTCCCGCCGGGAACTTGTGAAACGGTCACCAGGGATGACACCCACCCCAGAGAACCGTGGGGGCTCATGGCCCAGCAGCCAGGGTCAGGCCAGCCCTCCCCTCCCTCCGTCATTCAGGACCAGCCCAGGCTGGCCGCCTCGAGTGGGCGCCCCCCACAGAGCATCAGGGCTGTCCTGCTGTGGCCCCGCTGGCCCTGGCTCCTGTGCCCTGTGGTCACCGTGACTGGGCAGCAGGGCCTGCCTCATAGGTGCACCGGCTCCAGCCTGGCCAGGGCAGGAGGCGACCACTGCTGAGGAGGACCGCGAGCCCGGCGTGCGGCACATTCCAGAGCTGCGCTGCGCATCTGCCATCACTTCCGGAGCTCACGTGTCGCGATTACAGAAGCCCCTCGCTGAGGACTGCCATGCCATGCCATGCATGTGCCGTGCCTATGCGACACACTCTCCCCTCAGGGGCATTTTTCTCCTTAGGGACGGCCACATTTTCTCGGCTGGGCAGAAGGCAGGGCTAGCAGGAGTCGTTCTCTCAAAGGAAACGCTTCCAGGGAGAAGACAGGCCGGGGCGGGGCCCAGCCTCCCCTCCCCTCCCCTCCGCCGCTCTCCCGGCCTTACCTGTTCCTGGGCCTGTCGTGGGACGGGGGGCTGTAGAAGGCCTCCACGGCCGCCAGCAGCCGCTCGCTGGGTGGCATGGGGGGCGGGAGGCGGATGTCTTTAGGGTCCAAAGGCTTGTACTCGTGGTCTTCCAGCTGCAGTGGGGAACAGCGCTGTCACCTGTGCCCTGGCAGAGGCCACTCGGGCCCACCCAGGGCATGGTGGGCCCAGGTCTGGTGTCAGGGCTGTCCTGGGCACCATAGTTCCTCATCCTTCCCTTTTGGGAAATCCCACTCCTCAGAGGGCCTGGACCCCACCAGCGACTCCCAGACGGGTGACTCAGTTCATTTGAAGCTGACAAAAGCCGCAGGGCTCTCTCCAGAAAACCACAGACGACCCTGCCCCTGAGCTCAGCATCCCACACTCCCAGGGTGCAGACTGCTGTCTCCGTGTCCGTATCCTCTGTTCCCACCAGGCCCCCCCTTAGTCAGTGCAGCCTTGGCCCGGCCCCGGGGCCAGCCTGCCCGGTTCCCTGCTCCGTGCTGCCTGGTGTGACCCTCCCTGGGTTCCTGGTGGATGTGTCTGAGAGGGGACATCAAGTGGCAGTGGCCAGCACAGCCCTCAGAGCCCCAGCCCTGGTTCCCAGCAGCGCCCGCTGCTCCCAGCCTGGCCTGACTCCTGCAGAGCCGCCCCTTCCTGGGGACCTTCCACTGGCGGCTGTTGGCCAGGCGGATTCCGAGGGCTGGGGTGCAGAGGGACAAACGGAGGACCCACACCTCATGCACACCCTGATGGCAGGCAGGAGGGGACAAGGGCAGAGTGGACACAGGCTCGCTGGGCACCTCACGGCAGCACCGAGGATGGCATTTGGACGTGTCTGCTCTGAGCCATCAGGGTCACTTGCGGGCAGGAAACGAGGCAGGGGAGGGAGCCGGGGAGCAGGCTGCACACAGAGACACAGGCGTGCACAGCCCAGCTCGGAGCCCATGCGGCGACGTTACCTTCACGAGGGGGGCCATCAGGCCGGCAGGGAGGTCAAAGTAGGGCACGTTGGGGACCAGGCTGGGGTCATCATGGTTGATGTGGGGCGGGCCCTGTCGCCGCATATGGGGGGGCTGCCCGTTGAAGCCATGGGGGGGAGGGCCGAAGTCAGGGTGCTGGGGCCCAGCCCAGGGCGGGTGCTCGTTGATCCCAGGATGAGGCATGCGGTGGCCAGGGTGGTGGTGAGGGGGGCCCAGCTCTGTAAGACAGAAACTCGCCTCAGGACACTGGCCAACCGGACACGATCTCCAGGGGACAAGTGCGCCTGGGAAGGGGCTCAGTGAGGGGGAAAGAGGCCACTGTCTCTGGGCAGCTCTGCTGGCACCTTCTCTCACTGCATGGCAGGAGGCAGGGAGCAGCCAGGCTTGAGGGGCCTGTCCTGCAGCCACACACAGGCCAGCACCCAGGGGAGCCATGGAATTTTGGAACAGCAACGTTACGGGCTGAACCACATCTCCCCAAATTCACATGTCATTGCTGTAACCCTCAGGGCCTTAGAACGTGACTATCCCTGAAGACAGGGTCTCTGAGAGGTGAGTTAAAACGAGCTCATTAGAGTAGGCCCTAATCCACTGTGACTTGTGATTGGCACACAGACGCCGACACAGGAGAGAGAAGCCGCCATCTACAGGAAGAGGAGAGAGGCCTCGGGAAAGTGGCCCTGCGGACGCCCTGACCTCGGACTTCCCACCTCCGGGTCCCCGGACGGCGCGGCCCACCCAGTCTCTATTCTGTCTCGGCAGCTCAAGCAACTAATGGAAGCAATAAATGAGCTAAAATAAAAAACTTAAAAATCAACAAAGCTAAATTTGATTCCTTAAATGAGGAAACCAGGCTGGATGCAGTGGCTCATGCCTGTATCCGAGCACCCTGGGAGGCCAAGGAGGATCTCTTCAGGTTAGGGGTCCGAGACCAACCTGAGCAAGAAAGAGCCCCGTGTCTACAAAAAACAGAAAAACTAGCTGGGCGTGGTGACGTGTGCCTATGGTCCCAGCTACAGGCTGAGGCAGGAGGATCGCCTGAGCCAGGAGTTGGAGGTTGCTGTGAGCTATGACAATGCCACTGGCCTGGGGTGACTGACTGAGACTCTGTCTCAAAACAATAAAAAAATAAAATGAGAAAACGAATGCAAACAGCAGCCAGCAGCAAAAAACAGAAAAGGCCTTGCCCTGCTCTCACGGAGCCTGTCCAGGGTGGGCACCCTGAGGATGGGCAGGCAGAGCCTGCGCCTGGCCGGGGGGAAGAGAGGACGGGACTCGCCCCCACAGCAGCCTAACCAAACCAGGGCAGCAAGGTCGGCAAGTATGTCAGCGGTCCTTTCCCACCAGGGAGGCGACACTGAGTCCCTCCTCCTCCGCCCTCCTGAGGGCCCGAGCTGGGCTCATTGGACGTCCCGTGACACGCACACCCGGACCACGAGCGTGAGCAGCCGCGTGGCAGGCCTCCCGGGTGCCTCGACTCACCAGCGGGAAAGTCGCCCTGGGGGTAGTCGAAGCGGTGAGGGTAGGGCGGCCGCTCGAAGGGGTGCCGTGGGGGGAAGTCGTCCTGCATGAAGCGGGGCGGGAAGCGGTTGAAGTTGTGGGGGTGCGGCGGCTGGTTGAACTGTGGGTGCTGCTGGTGGGGCGGGAAGGGCCCCCGGAAGTGCGGCGGCCGCTGCATGCGGAAGGGCGGCTCGCGCTGGCCGCCGCCCCAGGGCGGCTGCTCGTGCTGGCTGCTCCACGGGCCCTCGAACTGGCTGTTCCAGGCAGGGTCGGGCTGGCTGTTCCAGGGCGCATCACGCTGGCCGTTCCAGCCGGGGTCCCCCCGCTGCTCGCCCCACATGCCCTCGTGGCTGTTGTTCCAGGGTGGGCAGTGGGGCGGCCCGCCCTGGTGGTGCGGGTAGGGGGGCTGCTCCGGTGGCTGCAAGGCAAGGCATAGACGTGAGCCCCTCTCCAGCTGGACCCCAGCAGACACTGCGGGCACTGCCCTCTGACTGGGGCACGGCCCTGGGCTCTTCTCAGTACCTTGTTTACTCCAATGTTTGCAGCAGATGTGGGCCACAGTGCCACCCACAGCCGGACCCTTGCATTGGCGCAAAGTGACCAGACTCAACTGCTGCACCCAAATCTCTGGCCCACTGTGCCTGTATGCAGGCTGGGCAGCCCCAACACACCCCTCCCCCACTGCCCAGCAAACACCGGCCCTCGCCCTGCAAACACCAGCCCTCGCCCTGCAGGTGGGGCAGCACACAGGCGCACCCGGTGTCACTTCTCAGTGCGGCTGGGCCCCAGGTTCCCACGAGTGAGCCCACTCTGATGACACATCTGCCCTGTCCCCGCCAGGGCCCTCTTGAGGGGCCACATCCCAGATAAATCACTTGCCCTCATTTCCTTGTCTCAGGGTCTGCCTAGGGGCACCCTTCTGTGGACCGAAGACAACAGGCCCCAGCTCGCACCCGGCTGCTGCTGGACGACCCAAAGCCAGGACGGCAGCTCCGGCTCCGGCGGAGTGTGCACAGCTGAGGCCGACAAGAGGGCCCATCTCTGGGGACACGGCTGGTCAGCTCTGCCAGCCGCTACCATGGGGAGGCTGGCCCAGGCCAACAAACAAAGCTACAGAGCCGGATTTTTAAATATCAGGAATGACTTCCAAACGTGCAGGCACCACGTGGGCAGGCCAGGCCGCTGGTTCTGACCATGGACTGACTGCCGGCCCAGCGCAGACCTTCAACGAGAAGGGTCCTGTCACTCTGGTCCACAAAAAGACAGAGCCTGAAGACGCTAAGGGCCTCTGCTTCCACAACTCCAAAACGGGGACGAGACCCACTTCCCTGTCAGAGCGTTCCCACCAACGGCCGATACCACGGGGCTGCCGCCGGCACTCGGGCGGGGGAGCTGTCTTTATGGGAATGTCGCGTCTTTTGTGAACTGCAAGCTCAGGCTGGGAGGAGGCTCAAAGCCACAACCCCCAGTCGTCAGTCCAGAGCTGTCTCCCTGGTGTCCTTCCGCCTCTCCTCGTGGACATGGAGACACCGGTTAGGCCATGCTCGGCAGACAAGCAGGCCACACCGGCCTCGCTGCGGGCGGGCAGCGGGTGTCGGGAAAGGCTGTGACTAAGCGCTCTAACTGGACCCCGCGGGCTGCACGGGCGTTTCCCAGGCCTGCTGTGCCAGATGGGGCGACCCCTGCTCTCGCCTAGATGTTTCTGCCCCCGGAAACGCTGCGCCTGCAGCCTCCCAGCTGCATGCCTGCCACTTCCGACTTTCCCTTTCCTCGCGGAGCACCTTGTTCTTTCCAGGAGGACAGAACGTGGCCACTTAGCTCGCTGAATTAGTTAAAAATAGGAAAGGATCCTTATTGGGTTGTCTTTGGCTTTAGCAATAAAGTTTTAAAAACTTAAAGGGAAAACAAACCAACCACATTGCTGTCCTTAACAGTCTCAAACTTGTCAGCACTTGCAGGAAAATAGGGGCCTACGTTACTGACAGGCCCAAACAATCAAAGCGTGGGGAAGGGACATAAAGACCCGCTCTCTCACTCTGCTGGTACCTGAGCCACAGGGAGATGGGGCTGGCTGTCACTCATGCAGGACAAGCTCTGTGGTAACAGCAGAATCTCGCACGAGATTCCCCCTTGAGCTGCTAAACCCCCACTCGAGGCCGCTCCCCATCTGCTGTCCTGTGGGGCCCAGGGCCACCTCCCTGCGCCACACGTTTCAAGAAATACCTGCTGTTGGCCCCAGGGAGCCACAGGGTGAGGCTGGTCAAACCAAGGAGGCTTGTTAGGTGGGATCTGGTCGTGGGGTCCGGGGCCTCGGGGGCCGGCGGCTGCAGGATCCTGGACCCCTCCTGCAGCGTCATACTCCGTGGAACCCGGCATTTGGATGGGGGGCTTGTTGTCATCTGGACGCAGGTGAGACAAGGAGAGAGGGCCTGTCAGCAGGAGGCGCTGTCTCAACACCGACCAGAGCCAACCAGACCAGGGCGCTTACTGCCAAAGCAGTTCCTGCCTCCCGACCCCACCGGGAACTGCGGCCACCACCTGCCTCCAGGAAGGGGACCGGGAGACTGGAGGGTTTGAGCCCACACCCACAACACGTCTGTCTTCTGTGGAAGCTTTACGATAAGCGTGTCTCACATCTCCATTTTAGCTAGCTAAAGAATTTTTAGCGACATTCAGTTTCATCAGACCCCTTTTCTGTATCTAGGTAAAAGGTCACTTCCCCCAACTTAATTTGCTTTATATTAGATTTTCTGGTGTTAAACCATCCTTATATTCCTGGGACAAATCCTACTTGATCATGATGTATTTTTCATCCTTTGTTGGATTTCATTTGCTAAGATTTTATCTAGTATTTCTGTGTCTTTGTTCAGAAGAAATACTAGATTATACATATATATGTATATATCATGCATATATTATATGTATGTATATATCACATAAATATGTATATATGTTTCGTGTGTATATATGTATATGTTGCACCACTGTACTCCAGCCTGGGCAACAGAGTGAGATACTGTCTCTAAAATATATATACACATTATAGCTCACTGCAGCCCCGACTCCTGGGCTCAAGCGATCCTCCCGCCTCAGCCTCCCAGAGTAGCTGGGACTACAGGTGGGCTAAGTTTTAAATTTTTTGTAGAGATGGAGTCTCACTCACTTGCCCAGGCTGGTCTTAAAGTCCTGGCCTCAAGTGATCCTCCCACCTGGGCCCCCCAAACTGTTGGGATTACAGGTGTGAGCCACCACGCCCAGCTTAAGCTACGTTTCTATTTGTCAGCACTGTCTGACATAATGATCTTGTGAAATGACCTGGGTACCCTTCCTCCCTTCCTGTTCTCTGGGAGTGTCAGCAAGGCCTGGAGGTACCTCTGCAGCCACCTGGCCTGGTGCTTGGCAACACACTGAAAGGTGGCCCCAGGAGCGGGCGCGGGGTACGGCACCAGGCCTGTGTCTGAGCGGGGTGCTTTCTGGGCACTGTCCCAGTGACCAGCCTCCAGGAGGCCGAGGGAAGCACTTACCAGGCTGGGTGGTTGGAGGGATGGCCGGCGCGGGCGCGGGCGCCGGGGGCGGAGCAGGAGGCGGTGGCGTGGCCTTGACCTCGGCTTCCATCTGCGGCATGGGCATCTGCGGCGGCGGCGGCTGCTGCTGCTGCTGCTGCTGCTGCTGCGCCAGGCTGCTGACGAACTCCTCGTGCTGCGTCTTGAGCGTCTGGATCTGCTGCTGGAACGCCAGCTGCACCGGCTGCACCACCGAGGCGTACTCGGTGATCAGCGTCGCCTGGCAGAGACAACAGCGCCCGGCACTCAGGAGCGGCCCTCCCCTTCCGGAACAACACGGGGACAAATGCCTGCAAAGCAGCGGGGCCCGGGGCACCTGGGGCAGGCAGGCAGGCGGCTGTCACATACAGCTATCAACCCGGTCTTGACAGCTACGGGCCGTGCGGGATCCGGCCAGAGACCTGGTGACAAGGATGAATCCCTGACAACAGGAACAAATGATGACAGCTGTGTCCTGGCCCGCTACATGGGCACTAAAAACACACCGTGGACAAACACTCCCAGACACACTCGTGGGCTCGGCCTCCGAGTCGCCACGTGGCTTTGAGCAGTCACTACGTCCCTGAGCCTGTTTCCTCGCCTGTAAACCAGTAACGGAGCCTGCCTCCCAGGCTCCGGGAAGAAGCCAGCGGGACACCACACAGAGGCAGCTCCAGGGCCGGCAGCTCAGTTGGCACGAGCTGCCGCCCATAAAACAAGAGGAGAAGCCCACTCGGCTATGGCGCGATGGGATGATTCCACATTTGCTTAAAAACCGAAACGGTAGAAAGGGCACACAGTGGCTTTCCTCATCTGCCCTTCTGCACGTGGAAACCTCTCCTCCACGCGGAGGGTTAGGGTGGTGCCCAAGGGAACAGTCAACATGTGGCTTCCGGCATCCAAAGCAGGACTTGGCAGGAACACGACAGCCTTCCCCATGGAGGGGAGGGGTGTGGCCTGTGCATTTGTAACAGCTGTAGATGGGACAGCAAGGCCAGTGCCACCTCAGAGATGACCAAGAGACCTGTCCCTCCCCTCTGTGCCCTGGGCGTGGCTGAGCCCCTCCTCTATGGGAGCAGACGCGCCCTCAGAGAGCACGTAGAGGACCCGTGTGACGGCTACCGCAGCCTAGACAACACCGGGCTCTCGAGACTCCCGGCACGCAGAGCGCGCCTGAAGACCAGAGAAACAGGACGAAGAGCCCACAGGGCAGTGACTCCGTCAGGCAACCTGGCTACAGTGTGCCCAGACAAGTCGGGCACACCTGGGAGCCCAGATTGGAAAATGTCACCTGGGACACTGTGACCACCTCCCAGGCGTTCCCAGCACAGGCAGGGGACACGTGCTCTCGGGCTCCGGGAATGTGCTGGGGAGGCACTTGCCGGCCCCACACCCCCACCCCGCCTGGGGTTCCTATGCTGGCTGCGGGGAGAGGTGCGGGCAGGTGGGGGACGCTCACCTGGTACTGGCCAAGCCCCAGGGCTGGGCTCTGTAGCTGCTGAATGATCGAGTCGTCGAAGTAGCCATTTTTCTCCCAGAGCTGCAGGAGCTGGTGTGGGGAAGGGAGACGCTGCGTCAGGGGAGGGGAGGCCCGTGCAGCCCCACCCCTGCCCCCCTCCTCCCGCCCCTGGGGCCCACGCACCCGGGCGATCTTCTGCTGCTTGTCCTCCTCCACGGCCAGGAAGCTGGTGCAGTATATGGGCACCACGACCTTCTGCAGGGCGGCCAGCAGCTCCCGGGCCTGCTTGCGCTGGCTGTGAGGGAGAGACCTTCCGCGCGTCAGGGCCCTGGGGCGGGACCCGGCCACGCGCCCGTTACCATCGCGGCTCCAGCCACAGCACCCTCTGCCTTCTCGGGACTGGGCCCCCAACCCGGCTGCGGGGATGGCTGGGCTCCCACGAGACCTGTGCTGGCGCCTAGACGGGAAGGCTCAGGCAAGGGACAGACAGACAGCGAGGGGAGGAGGGACAGAATGCAGCTCCTTGCTCTGAGCAAGGCCTTCATCCTCCTGGCTCCCTTGTCAGTAAAATAACTTTCCCTGCTGGGTGGCAGTGAGGAGGGCTAACTCGGGGCCTGTCAGAGCCCTGCGTGTGCGCAAAGCATGGCACCGGCTGCCGCAGGATGGGGACTTGTCTGTGTCACTCACTAAGCACAAGAAACCTCGGCTGGGGCTGGGTCTCTCAGGGGCAGGAGGAGTGGGCCCGTCCCTCGGGCATCTAACATGCTTTACATGAGGGACTGGGTGCTCCGCGCAGTGAGGCAGTTGGCCCATGTCCTCTCGGCCGCTGTGCAGAGCTGCATGGGGACACTTTGGGCGTGAATGGCCCGTGGAGGCCCCTGCAGCTGTCAGTGAGGTGGCAGGGCCATGACAGCATGTCTGCTGCCCCCTGGGCAGGGACGCATGGTGGAAGATGAGTGGTTGGAACCATTCCCAACCCTGAACTCGCCCAAGGGAGCCCACACAGAGGAGCGGGGGCCAGGCCCTTGCCGTGGGGAGGCACGGCAGTGGGGGCCAGGGCGAGTGGCATGAGGCCTCGGACAGAGCTGGGCTGCAGGGGGCATCGGTGGGGAGCGTGGGAGCAGGTGCGTCTGGCAGAGGCACCCTGGGCTCCGAGACAGGGAGGAATGTGGCTGCTGGGAGGAGGAGGAGGGCACAGGCGCTGCGTGGCAGCTCACTTCCCAGCAGGAGAGAAACAGGACAGACGCGTGGAGTGGCTGAGTGGAGCTGGGTAGGAGAGGGGACCCAGGGTGGGGAGGGGACCCAGGCTAAGCTTCGTGTGATAGAAGACGGGAAGACCCGGGGTGGGCAGGGCTGGACCAGCTCCTCTGGGGAGCCACGTCCCTAACCAGGCCACCCACGGACAGCCAGGCCAAGCTCAAAGGCATGAGTGGCAGTGGGTCTCATGGGCAGTGTTTCCTCCTGCTTTGGCCCAGGCTGTTAGCCCCGTGGCCACGCAGAAGGAAACAGCCACCCAGCCTTGGGCTGGCACTGGTGGGAGGGAGCTGAAGCCTGGCTGCGGACAGAGGGTCGGCAAGGGTGGCCCCCAGAACGGGGTCAGGGCTGGAGAAGGGGACCTCACAGGAGGGTCCCGACAGCAGAGTCAGGCGGCAGCTTGTGGGTGGGTGGGCAGATCAGAGAAAGGGAGCCGGCAACAGACACAGAGGCAGCAAGGAGGTGGCGGCGCCTGAGGCCCAGCTTGCTGAGCGATGCCCAGGAGAGCAAGGTGCGGAGGGGACAGTGGCCCCAACAATGTCACAGGTGAGGTCAGGGGTGTGGGGTGAGGGTAGGTGAGGCACTGAGACTAACCTTAGTCCCGCAGACAGGGCTCGTGGCTCAGAGAGACCCCCCCCCAGGTGCTTTGGACACGTGACCCCCCCCCCCAGCCCCAGGACAGGCAAGCCAGGGTACTGAGAGTGGCCGCCCAGGTGAGGAGGTGTGGGAGCAGTGGGGGCGCGGTGGGTGCGGTGCTCACCAGTGGTGCAGCACGTCGTTGATCAGGTAGATGAGGTGCAGCCGCAGCTCGAAGTGCGCCCCGTCGGCCGTGATGCGGTTCCGAAGGTGGCCTGCCATCAGCTCACAGTGTGGCGGGGACTTGGCATTGCTGAACATCCAGTTCTTCCCGGCCTGCAACAGCCAGGCCGACGGTGAGTGGAGGAGGGGGCACACCCTGCACCCCGAGCACGTGTCACCATTGGCCCAGGGCAGTGACGCCGGGGGAGGGCAGACACACCACAAGGGTGTGGAGCACGGGGCCCTGAAGCCTAAGGTGCTCAAGGAGGAAGAGAAAGTGCTCCTCGGAGCAGCCCAGCCCAGCCTGGATGTGGTGGCCCCTGCCTGGGAGCCGCCCTGCCCCCGCCAAGCCCTCAGCCACCCTCACCGAGATGGCGTCCTTGGTGCACGTGTCGATGATGGGCTGCAGCAGGCTGTCGAACTCGTTCATGTCCAGCTGGGTCTCTTCCAGGAGCTTCTGCATCTGCTGCTCTATCGCGTGGGCCACAGCCGCCGTCACCTGCTCCTGGGAGGTCAGGCGAGATGGAGACGGCATGAGGAAGGACCCTCAGCACAGGCCTGGCGGGGGGGGGGAGGCGGGCGAGTGGGAAGGACGAGGAAGCCGGGCTCTGAGCTGCTCTGGCCCTTGGCTCCCTGGCCTGTCTCCAGCAGGAGGAGATCCTGTCCCTCTCACGGGCCACAAAGCTGTGCCAGCCCGCCTTGGGAGTGCACCTAGGGTAAGGCCAGACAAGACACACTAGGAGACAGCGTCGGCCCTCCCGGTGACAGAGGGAAAGAGCGTGGCCCAGAGGAACAAGGAAGCTCTGCAAACCAGTTAAACAAAATACAAGGACAACTGAGTCACGGTGTCAACAGGTAACCTGGAGAGGACACCCCCTCGGCCACCAGAGAAGCAAGGGAGCAACCTCAAGCATCATTGGGGATGGGCCGGCCTGCCTAGTCTGTGGCCAGTTCAGGGTGGAAACTCAGGGTGAGCCTTCCAGAATGTTTGGCTGGCGGCAACATGATGGAACAATTTTATGTCTTGGACCTAGCAGCACACCTGGGGCCAGCGTTCTAGAGGTCTCGTATTTTAGTCACCTGCAACGCTGCCTTATCGTGTTTGGCAAAAGTATCAGACCCATGGATCGCAACGAAAGGGTCCTTCCCCATCAACAGCTTAGGGTGACCTAGCCACCAGGTGACAGGGTCAACGGCAGGCACCAGAGGCCACCTGGCAGCACCTGTCACACAACTACAACTGGGCACACTTGACCCACAATCCCACATGGCGGCATCCCCCCCAGGGTGACCGCTGTGCATGTGTCTGGAGAGCATGTGCCGTGACTTCACTGGGTTGAGAAGCAGCCTCAGAGTCCAGCGTCAGGGCCAGGGGTGACAAGCCCTGTCCTCAGCACTGAGCATGGTAATGAGTCCTCGCGACAGCCGCTCTCCGCTCTAACTGCAGACGCAGCGACAGAGGCACAGGCTGAGTTCCTGGTACCCACCTTAGGACCGAGAGGGGCGAGGGCCGCAGGGGCTCCCTACCTGTCTGAGGGCCAGCAGGTGCTGCTCCTGCTGCTGCAGGTTCCACTGGCTCTGCTGGATCAGCTCGTCCATGGACGGCGTGCCCTGGGCCAGCGGGGGCTGCGGCAGCGGCGGCATGGCTGCGGCCGGCTCCAGCTCTGGCGCCTGCTGCTTGCAGATGACTGGCAGGAGAGGAGAGGGGGCCCCCGTGAGCAGGTGGCCAGAGCCCTGACATCCCCTCCACAAAGCTCTAGGCCCCTCCAGACTCACCGCCCGCAAGAGGGCCTCTGTGCAGCCACACTCCTACGTCCGCCCGGCTCCCCGCACCCTGGGAGCCTAGCCCTCCCGCCTGCCCTCCCTCTCACAGCGCCGCAGGTCCGGACCTTCCCATGTCCTCACCCGCGGGCCCTTCTGCCTGAGGGAGAACCGAGGAATGGTCACTATGCTCTCTTGCCACACCCTCCAGTCCTTGTCCAGGCTTCTACCTGAGCCCACCCACGTCTGCACTTCACCCAGGCCTGAGCTGGTGTGGCCAGGGCTCCCTGAAGGCACCTCACCCCCAGCCCCCAGGCTGCTCCCTCTCACCTCTGCCACTGCCCCAATCTATCCAGTCACTGTCAGGACATCACAGGCCCTGGGCCTCTGCACACCCGGCCAGCGAGCCACGAAGCTGCAGCCCCGAGCAGGTGGGGCACCCCAGCACCCCTGAGCACAGGCTGTGGCCTCACCCCGTCTTCCTTCTACTGACTCCCCTCGCATCTCCAGCCCCGAGGGCCAGGCACCCTCCGCAGTCCAAGATGGGCTGCCTCCCTCTCTGCCTTGAGGCCTCACCTTATCTGAATGTGACCATGAGCCACGCTGGAGGCCTCCTGAGGTCCCCTCCCACCCCTGATCAGGTGGAAGTTGCTGCCCACGGCCCACGGCTGGGCACCCGGTTACTGCTTAGGGCTGATGGGCTTTGCGGTGCGGCCTGCAGGACGACCCCTAACTTGTGCACTGGATCCCGCCCCTCCTACCCGCTGAGGGACACTGATTCTCGAATTCTGTGGTCTCCGTTCTGCTCGTTTCTTCACTGTCTCCCTCTTTCCTGGCCCCTCCCGGGCAGCATCCAAACACACCCCAGTCTTCTGGGCTTACAACCTCTCCCATAACCCTGCACCCCGCTCTCAGCGATTCCACTGCCGAGTCACTTTCGACTGTCTGTCTCTCCTTTTCCTCCACCCAGGGCAGGAGTCTGGCTTCTGCCCGCCCACCTGCCACCCCCAGTGCAGCCCAGCACAGCCTCGCTCAGCCCTTTAGGTTTGTCTCAGGGCGTTGTCTCTCGGCTTCCGTGTGGCCACCCCCTGGGTCCCTTCCTCCTTTTCCACCACCTTTGCTGCCCTCCCTCCTGTCTGTTGGGCGTCTGGCCTGTGTTCTAAGCCCTTCTCCTCAGCTCTCTCCACCCCCCAGGGAATGAGACACATTCCCGAGACCACAGTGAGCGCCTGCACGCTGCTGTTCCTAGGTCCGCTGTCTCCATTCTGGATTCCTTGAGCTACGGACCTAAGCAGTGACCACACACCCCACTGGGTTCCACAGGCCCCCCAAACTTCCTTGCATTTCCTCCTGCCCCACACTCCAGCTGCCCCTCCTGGGGTCCGTCCTGATCTCTGTGACTGACACACCAATCCACCTAGACAGTCAAGCCAGAAACCCGAGAAGGGGCCTGCACCTCACACTAACAAGCCACGCAGCACTGTCAAGCCAGCCTCCTGGGTCACCCTTCAGTCTGCCTGCACCCGTGGCTGTCACCACCATGGCTCTGCCATCACCCGTGTCATCCCCAGAACCCGTACCCCCTTCGCCTCTTCTCATCAAGGCAGTCAGTACTTCTGCTCAGCATGGCCCTCAGGCCAGCCCCGGGTGACAGACAGTTACAGAACTGGCAAGTGAGAGCTTCAGCACTTTTACAGCAACTTGATGGTTCATGGCTCACACTTTTATTGTGCTTCACAGAAGTGTTGATCCACAAGAAATTGGCCACTTTAAAAAACAAAAACTGGTCCTTTACCACAGAGCTTTCAAAGCTCCCTTCCAGAAGGGTCCTGAGATTCAGTCTTCCCGCATGACCGGGGTGAAGGGCTGGCTGCTGTGGCCACTGCTGCTTCAAAACACAGACCTAAGGCCGGGCGCGGTGGCTCACGCCTGTAATCCTAGCTCTCTGGGAGGCCGAGGCGGGCGGATTGCTCAAGGTCAGGAGTTCAAAACCAGCCTGAGCAAGAGCAAGACCCCGTCTCTACTATAAATAGAAAGAAATTAATTGGCCAACTGATATATATATAAACAAAAAAAAAATTAGCTGGGCATGGTGGTGCATGCCTGTAGTCCCAGCTACTCGGGAGGCTGAGGCAGGAGGATGGCTTGAGCCCAAGAGTTTGAGGTTGCTGTGAGCTAGACTGACGCCACGGCACTCACTCTAGCCTGGACAACAAAGCAAGACTCTGTCTCAAAAAAACAAAAAAAACAAAACACAGACCTAAAATCTTTCAAGGGCTTCCCCTGAGCTTCCAGGATGGACTCCTGGCCCCGGGAAAGCCAGCCCCGCCCCCCTGGGCCCTCACTCTGGCCACTCTTAGAACCCTCCCACTCGGGGCTTCAGCCACCACCACCTTGGGTCCCGCCTCCCTCCAAGGGCTCTTTACTCTGCATAAAACACTGTCCTCCCCTCATTTCCACATGGCTAACTCGGACACACCAGCCAAGATATCGTCCCCAGAAGAGAGCACTTCTGGGCCCCAATCTTCCCTTGCTGTAATCACCTTCTCCTTTTGCTGTTATGGCACCGACTCTCAAGTGGCCCCTGATCTCTGGCCCTCCAGGCTGCCCTCGCAGGGAAAGCAGCCCTTGGCTCTGTCACTCAAGCAAAGGCGCTGACTGGGGCTTCTTTCTCCCCTGCCCTGTTACGCCACTATGTCATTGATATCCACCTGGTGCCCGAGTTCAAGCATGCTACCCCTTAACCTCACCTGCCCCCACGTCCATTCCCTCTGACTCAATCAGCACCCACCATCTCTCACCAGACCAACTGCCCCATCCAAGCCCCCTGCTAGCCTCACTGCTCCCCAGGCTAGTTGCTCCAGCCTGTCCTCCATGCTGGCCACACAAACCCGATCTGCTCTCCCTCTTGTTTCAAACCTTCTCACGGCTGCCCACTGCCTTTAACAGTGGTTTTAAACTTGGCATGCTGGGGCTAAGGAAGGATTGCTCTACCAACACATAAGCTGGCCACTGCCCCCAATCTCAAACCTAAACAGGCATCAGAAAAACCCCTGAGCTGAGGGAGAAAACCCAGACTTTCCCCTGTCATTTGAAACTCAGGATCAAACCCTTCTTCTATGCACATATGTTGCTTTTTTTTTTTTTTTTCAGAGACAGGGTTTCATTCTGTTGCCTGGGCTAGAGTGCAGTGGCATCATCATAGCTCACTGTAACCTCAAACTCCTGGGCTCAAGTGATTGTCCTGCCTCAGCCTCCCGAGTAGCTAGGGCTACAGGTGCGTACCACCATGCCTGGGTAATTTTTTAATTTTTTTGTAGAGACGGGGTCTGGCCATTGCCCAGATTGGTCTCAAACTCCTGGCCTCAAGTGATCCTCCTGCCTCAGCCTCCCAGAGTGCTAGTATTACAGGTGTGAGCCACTGCACCCAGCCTCACTCCTCCTTAGGCAACTTGGTGGTCCCCTGCTCCTATATTGATGTGGACCTTAGTGAGGACTCAAGTGGTCCTCCCACCTCAGCCTCCTGTGCAGTGGGGACTACAGGTTCGAATCACTGCACCCAGCAATACACATACATTCTATGCTCTAGCCATGCTGGGGCCCCCATGGTTCTTCTCACAGATTCCTAAACACAGTGCTTGTTTAAGTTCCTGCACCTCTGCATCATCCTACTCTGTCAGCCTTACAAACATTTTATTGAAACCTACTATGTGCTATGTATTAACCCAAACAAAGTGTTTGACATCGGGAAGCACCCATCTCTTAACGTCCATCTAACACATTCACTCAAACAATGTATCTAGAGACTCGGGATTTGCTACTGAACGTGACAGATGTGGAACCTGCCCTTAAGAACTTTACCGCCCGGTGATTACGTATCCATTATTCAACGGCCAGCTGTGCCTCTGAACCCGCACCTTGAACTCTGAGAGCAGGGCAGGAATCTCGTGGCTCAACTGAGTGAACAAGCATAAACAATTGCTTAGAACTAAAACCCAGCGGAACAATTCTTTTCACAGTCATCTGAAATGCACAAAAACCTGGCAGGACCCACAGAGAGCCCATGGGGGCTGGATAGTACCTGCCCCGAGGACTCCAGTCCCGCCTCTATCACTTCCTCCCTGGAAAACACTGAAACAGTCACTGCAGTTCTACTGATCTCAGTCCTTACGTCTGCGAAACAAAAGAGGACTCCCAGATCCGGGGCCCAGGATCCATAACCTCACTCACTCTCCATTACACAAACACCCGGCAGACACTCGGTGCAGGGCCCTGGGAACAGCGGAAGGAATCCTGAAGGCCGATCTGCCCCAATTCACGGAGAAAAAGTATGCGACCCAAAAGAAAGCGGTTTGTGGCACAGCCCGGACTGGAATTAGAGAAAGGAATCGCTCTAGGGGGCGGCCTGAGAGCTGGAGGGGACTCACGCTGCTGCTGCTCCAGCGCCAGCTTGCACTTGTAGTAACTGTAGAACTCTCCTCCGAACAGAAACGAGAATTTCGGGTTGTCCTTCTGCTTCTCCATCGTCATCTTCTCAAACTCGGGCCCGTTGCGAGCCACGAACTGAGCCAGCTTGTCGATGACATTTCGAAGCTCCTGGTCTGGAGAACGGAGAAAAGACCACGCGAGGCGTCAGCGAGCATGGCCCAGACCCGGGGCCCTGGCGCCCCAGCCCGCGTCCGCCTTGCTGGGGACCCTAAGGGTGGACCCTGAAGAGGCCGCTCTTGTACGGGTCCCGACAGGGGCCACACGCTCGCCGGGAATGCGGGGACCCACGGGAGAGGCCGCAGGCGAAGCCGCGAGGCCGAGCCCCGCCCCCTCCCAGGCCCGGGAACTCCGGGAGGCGGGGCCGGCCAACATGGGATTCCAGAGAGAGAGAAACGGTCTCTGGGCCGGCCTGGGCCTCACCATCGGGCGGCAGAGGCATCTCCATGGCTCCGGCCGCGGGGAACGTCCTCCGGCGCCTCACGATCGCCCACCAGCGCCGTCTGCGGAAGCCGGCCGGAAGTGGCGCGAGGGGGCCGTTTACGGCTGGCTACGCGAGCCGCTTCCGCCCGCCACTTACGGCCGTCGCCGGGAAACCCCGGAAGTGAGGGCAGGAGGCGGGCGGGAAGAAGCCGCGCGAGGCCCGCCGCGCGGGAGGGGCTAGCGAGGCGCATGCGCAGGGGCTTCATCGCGCGTGCGCAGAGCTGGCTGTTGGCGCGCTACGCGCGGAACACCTGGAATGTCGCGGGCGGCAGTTGGCGGCGGCTGGAGCGTCCCGACAGACTTCCGCTGTAGGCGAGGGGGTGGCCGGGCGGTGTCTCCGCGCCACCGGGGGTCTGGGGAGTTCGTTCCCGGGACTCAGGGCCTCTGTTTTCTCCTCGCGGGCACAGTGAGGAGGCTGGGAGGTGAGGTGCGTGCGGGAGGTCCCCGGGCTGCAGCGCCGGTCACACCCTCCCCAGCCGGCCCGGAGGTGGAGCAGAACTGGGAGGCAGCCGGCTGGGGGGCATTGGAACTGGGCACATTGAGGTTCAAAAGGTCTCAAGGGAACTCCCACCCTCCCCCGACCTGAAGCTGCGGGCCTGGAGGGCACAGCGCTTTCCTAAAAGGTGCAGTTACGTTGCTTCTAAAACGATGAAGGCAACACTTGTGAGTTGTGGGGAAAGGTAGCCGCAAATCAGCAAACTTCTGCTGTGGACCTCTCCTGTAATCTGACTCTCTTGAAATGACCGTTGCTAACCCCAGGTTGGCTATACCTCCTAATTTTTTTCCTATGCAAATAGATGCGCACGTGCTTTAGATTCCTTTCTTTTTTTATTGTTACGATATGTTTTCATCAGACACTGACGGGTTACCTACTGTTATGTCTAGTACTGCTCTAGGGTGGAGATCGGCAAACTTTTTCTATAAAGGGCCAAAGAACAAATATTTTAGACTTTGGTGGCCAGGAAGCAAGATTGAGGATTTTATTTAGCTGTTTCTGTAACCAGAGACAAATGTACTTATAAAACTTATGTTGGTGAAACTGAAAATATAACTGAGTACAGTTTCTTAAATACAGGTTGCTGTGGTTTGAATGTTGAGCACTCATGATTGGATTAATCCATTCGTGGATTAATGGGTTATCGCGGGGGTGGGGCTGGTGGGTCTGTAAGAAGAGGAAGTGGTATGAGCTATCAGGCTCAGCCCCCTGCCCATGTGATTACCTTTGCCACCTCGGGACTGCAGAGTCCCCATCAACAAGAGGGCCCTCACTGGATGCAAACTCTTGACCTTGGACTGCCCAGCCTCCAAAACTGCAAGAAATAAAGTTCTGTTCTTTATAAATTACCTGGTCCCAGGTGTTCTTTTATAGCAGTGCAAAACAGACTAAGACATGGGTCTGCTCATGAGAAGAGTGGAATCCTTTTGTTGGGCTAACATGTCACTTAATTGGGGTTTCAAGTTCATCCTCCCTGTTACGGATTGACTGCAAATATTCTCCTGTATAAAAACCATTCTTGGCTCAGAAACAGGTGGCTAGCTGTGGGTGGCTTGTGGAAGCAGTGAGGAACAAGTCAGACCTAAACTCCGCTCTCTGGGGGGGAAGAGACCTATAAATCAGTGAACAAATATATCGTCACAAAGGTGTTATTAAGGAAAAGAACAGGGCCCCGAGAGTATGACAAGTGGAAGGGTGGAGCCCACACTGATGGGGCAGTCAGGAAAGGCTCTGGAGATGATGTTAAGATGGAGGCCTGAGCAGGGAGCCAGCTGTGTGCCTGCTCCGGGCGGAGCGGGTAGCACAGGATCATCCTGTTCACATAACGGCCAGTCACCTGGATGGTGTGGGCACTCTTCATGCCAGTAAAGGTCTACATCAAGGAGTTTTAACTTGGGAATTTCCCATGGATGGACTTCAGGGAACCACAATTCATGGAACTGATAGCAAGGCTGTGCATGCATACCTTTTCGTGGGTTAAAGATGCACAGCATCTGTCAGATTCTTAACACGATCTAATCAAAACAGGCTAATCTATCTGGACTGTCGTTCTGAAGTGGGACTCTGAAGGTGGGATTTACCACAATTTACTGGAAGCGGGACTCTACGGAGTCTCTTGGGTTGGTTCCATTTTTGGGCCACTATATCAGAGTGTCTTAGCGTATATAACTCGTGTTGACTTCAAACGGTGTACACACTCAATGCTGAAAATCGCGCGATTGCTCTCCAGAAAGATAGTACACCCATGGTGATTACTTCCAGACATTCATTTCAGACTGCTGAAAATGCCATTTATCTGAGGCTCACGGGGGCCTCTCCCGAACTCATTTCAAGGGGCGAATCAGAATCCATTGGTGAGAAGAAAGCAGTAGAAAGAGCTGGCGGAGCAGAGGCCGCTGCAGAGATGTTCTCCAAGAACTGGAAACTACAAGAGTTTTAAGTAAAACAAGTGAAATGTGCACCCCCCGAGTGAGATGAACCCACTGAAGGGACCCCCCCCCAAGAAGGAAAGTGGGGAGAAGTGTAAAGCCATATGCACACATCCTTTGAAAAACTCACCCTCCTAGCATGCCATGTACACAGACACAAAATCAAGGGAGAATTATTTAATAACATGGGGAGATGTTCTTGGCATATTAGCTTTTTTCTTTTTCCCAAAGAGCTAGTTATAAAATAATATGCCGTTTTGAGAAGACATATCCTCTTTAGAGGTTAGTGCTGTTGTCTAATTTCTTGTCTTTTTCCAGATACAAGCTATGTATTCGCAAGCACGCTTATATATCTCACTCGACACTGTGGAAGTTCCCTTTTGTTTAGGCATCTACCTCAGTCTTTCTGACATGTGCATAGTACAGGTAATTTTTTAAAAATAACAATTTGTTTCATACTTAAAAAATAATATTGGCAGTAAGTTATTTAAAATGTAAGGGTGACTGAGGAGATCTAGACCAGACTGATAGCCTCAGTGAAGCCACAGCGTGTGTGACTGTCACTGGGCGTCCTGCAGTTACTGATCTGCATGTCTCAGCTAGCTGAAGCCACAACAGGAAGCAGGGTTTGGGAACAGAGACGCTCCTGTCCTGCCCTGGGAAGAGAGTTTCAGTCTGGGGGACATTGGAGAGGGCCTCTGTCCTGGGGCAAGGAGCACTCCTTGGGCCTGACTGACTGGCCACATGTCACCAGCAAACGGGGGGTCACAAAGAGGTGCCTAGGGAAGGCAGACAGTATTCCAGTGTCTGGGAGAGGTCATTACCTAAGGGGGAATCAGGACTCTGGTGTCTGGCTGGGGTCTCAACAGAGCTGTTTCTAAGCAGAACAGGACCTGACTGACCCCTTGCTAAGCAGTGGCGACCCCACCCCAGGGCAGAGCCTCGAGGCCCTGTTGTAATCACAGAAGCAGACTGCAAAGCCACGTGAGTGGTCCAGATGGGAAGGCCTTTAGGGCCTGACCTGCAGTGAGGCCTGGGCAAGTGCAGTGAGAGGCTGCACCTTTGGTCCTGCTCACACTTAGGAGCACATGACAAAGGGAGAAAACCCAGCCACTGCTGCTATGCAGGGAGAAAGGCCCTGGGCTTAGTGACAGACACTCCTAGGCGCCAGGCCTGTTCCATGGGTCATGCTTAACTTTCTCTGCTTCCACTGCCCACTCTGCAAACCTCTTGGGTTCTGACCCCCTGGAATTGCAAATACAAGTCAAATAAAAAAATTCCCCTGTGCCCCTCAAATCCCTGCTTCTTTGGCATTGTTTACGTACCTCCAACACGGTACCCTGTGGTACTCAGCCACACATCTGTAAGTTAAACTGAGTGCTTTGAAGGTAGGAGGCTTACATACCTGTTTCCTGTTGCCTGGCGCAAAGTAAGGGCTTCGTAAATTGCTGAACCAGACAGATTATGAATTACAAGGACGCGGGCAATTGTTTCAGCAGAAACCCACAACCTTTCACCAACGGTGTTTGAAAGAAATTTTGTTGAGAATGGTTTGAGTAATATGTGGGGAAATGGGCTTTGGAGTCAGATTTAGGCAGCTGTGTGGCCCCAGACAAGTCACTTGGCCCTTGGACCTTGTATTCCGCCTGTAAAAAAAAAATAGGCTAGTAAACCTCACGCAAAGGTATCATAAGGATCGTGCATGAAGAGCTCACTGCGCCAGGCACGTGGCGGGTGCTCCAGTCCCAGCGGTCACTACTCAGCAGCAGTTCCTAAGCACAGCCGCCACGGCCTTCCTGGATTTCCTGTGCCATTCTGTTCAATCAAGGCATGCCATTGCCTGTTAGGCTCTGATTCTAATTTTATCCGGTTTCATAAACTAAATCGCATGTCCTAATTTTTGGCTTGGAAGAATAAAAAAAGGTTGCAGTACGCCTGCACATGACAGCCAAGTCACTTTGTTCTTTCTACCTCTTCTACGTTCTGTTGCTGGGGACACTGAAGACAGGGTGACTTAAAACGAGTCCCTCACTGGCCAGCTGGGACCCATCTTGAGTCCCTGGAGACTGTTACTTGTTTTTGGTAAACGCCACCAGTGACTATACACAGTGTCATTCCCACAGACCAGTCTGTGGCATTTAAGTCTTGAAAGCAGGTGACAACTGAAAAAAAAAAAAAAAAGTCTAACACTATTCTGGTCTTTTAATAATTTAATGTTCTGCGCCCTTCAGCTGTTAGACGGGAAGGTGTCGGGGTGCGGCCGTGCCCGGCAGTAACGAGCGGCCTGCTGTGTGTGGCGTGGTGTCGCTGGACACAGCAAGATTCACAAACTCCCACGTGCGTCTTCACCGGAGCAGGTCTGGCTCGTCTCCTTTGTAACAGGGGTTGTATTTTCCCTGTAACGAATGACTTAAAAATGAGGTGCCTAAAAATTCCACACCGAGTCTGGTCACAGTCAACAAATGCTATTTAATGCCCTCTGAGCCGCACTGTCTCCTTCCGCAAGACGAAGGAGTTGGGTTAGAGTTGGTGCTGCGGGCCAGACCACACCACGGATGGGTAAACCGAATTCTCTGCCGCAAACCCCAGCGGCAAGGAGGAAGGCAAGGACACAGCTGCGAATGCCAACGACGCAGCAGTGGGGCCCCGAGTGGCTAAGGAAACCAGCCTTGGAGAGGCCGCCACTTCTGAACCTTCAAGTCTCAAAAATACACCTTTGTCTTTTGAGATCTGATGATTTGGTCTAATACGATTGTCTCATTCATTCCAGTGTATGTACAGAATTAAACATCCCGTTTATTAATTTATAAACCATAATAAAACCAGTCATTTCCCCTCTCCAGCAGAACCTGCATTGGAAAAGGAAAACAAACTCATTTACAAATTCCAGCAACATCAGAAATTTCATTAAACCTGGAAAGAGGCATAATTCATTTTGGAGTTCAACTGTATGTCCAAGAATCAGGTACTATCATCATATAGACAACTACAGTAACACCTTCACAGTGCAAAATTATCCCCATTCACTGAGGAAATTTCAACCGCAGACCTTACTGCCTCTGGTGAAGGCGCACAGAATGTTCTTTTCACGAATAACACCCACCAGGATCGCCTCTTCCCACTTGACACTGCAATGATCTCAGACCTTGGGGCCAAGGTATTTATAAAGCACACAACACGGGCAAGTAGGGGAACCGGCGACCTCTCTGGGAGTAGCCCACTGACAAGCTGACAAAACTCAACATCTTAAATACAAAAGTCCAATCAAAAGCAAAAAAAAAAAAAAAAAAGAGAGAGAGAGAGAGAAAGAAAAAGGAGTCAAACATAAGCTGCTCCATCCACTTCCTCTCTGAACAGGAAAACACCGCTAGGAGATGAAGGGCGAATCGCTGTCCCCTCTCCTGCTCGCTCTCCCCGAGTGCTGGCGGGAGCCCGGCACGGCGCTTCAGAAAGAAGACAGCCAGCCCCAGAGACCCCACGGGTCAAGCCAGCGGTCCCCTCTGTGAGGGCATGGTCCTTTCACGGAGCCAGAAAATACCGAGCCCACAACCTGGACCCTGGCGCACAGGGTTACCTACTGGGGCCCTATAATTTTCCTGATAGGATGCTGCCGAAACCCCAACTTATTCTGATCAGAGAATCTGATTTGGCAAACCAAACCCTGGCTTGGTGCTCGCCCCTTCTCCTTTTAACCAGGACGTGAGTTAGGTCCTAACATAAACACAAAAACAGGTCAAGGAATCTAAACACTGTGGTCTTGTCTATTTTGCAAAATGTTTAGTGGCTAGCCCTTCTGTTGATTTTTTAAAAAGAAAAAAATTGGGCCACACCTATAACGCCAGCACTTTGGGAGGCCATGGTGGAGGATCGCTAGAGCCCAGGAGTTTGAGACCAGTCTGGGCAACACAACGAGACCCCGTCTCTACAGCAAAATTTTTTAGGCTGGGTGCGGTGGCTCTCGCCTGTAATCCTAACACTCTGGGAGGCCGAGGCAGGAGGATTACTCAAGGTCAGGAGTTTGAAACCGGCCTGAGCAAGAGCAAGACCCTGTCTCTACTAAAAATAGAAAGAAATTAATTGGCCAACTAAAAACATATAGAAAAAATTAGCTGGGCATGGTGGCTCTTGCCTGTAGACCCAGCTACTCAGAAGGCTGAGGCAGGAGGATTGCCTGAGCCCAGGAGTTGGAGGTCGCTGTGAGCTAGGCTGACGCCATGGCACTCTAGTCCAGTTAACAGAGTGAGACTGTCTCAAAAAAAAAAAAAAATTGTTTTTAAATTAGCAAGGTGTGGTGGAGCACACCTGTAGTTGTAGGTACTCAGGAGGCTGGAGCAGGAGGATGTCTTGGACATCCAGAAATGAGTTAATATCTGTTAGGTGGCAGAATGAGACTCTGTCTCTTGAAAAAAAAAAAAAAAGATAATATTCTTAATATTCTCAATTCATTTCATTTTCAGCAATTGGGTCACTGAGAGAGGAGTTCAGAACACTTCACTGTGGCCAGGTGCAGTGGCTCACGCCTGTAATCCCAGCACTGAGGGAGGCCAAGGTGGGAGGACTGCTTGAGGCCAGGAGTTTGAGACCAGCCTGGGCAACACAGCACACAGGAATTCGAGGCTGCAGTGAGCTATGATGGTGCCACTGCACTCCAGCCTGGGCAACATAGCAAGACCCTATCTCTAAAACATAAAACAAAACAATCCCTACTTCATTGCTCCCTATTAAATACCAAAATTTGTCAGACAGGTATCACGAATAGGAATTTTTCATGTTTTTAAACATTTAGAAACAAAACCGTTTTTGACCCACAAGCCAGTCCTAACGTGTCATCCCCTCATGGGGATCGAGACAGAAACACAAACACACAACTACAAAATTTCCCTTAGAAAAATGCGACATCATCATAAAATCAAGACCTCCCTATCAAACGTCCTACCCAGTCTTCAAGAATCAGTGAAGACTTTTCTGCAGAAACAACAAGTGCCACCTAAGTAGAGCTTGAAGTACTGAACATGATTCCTCAAAGATCGATCCTTCTTCCCGGCCCGGGATAAGGGCTCTGCTCTGGCAAGGGAGGAGAGGGCGGAGGGAGGGGCCGTGCCTGCCCTCTGGGTCAGGGCGGCCGGCTCTCGTCCGGCTCTCACTCGCAGGCTCAGGAACCAGCTCCAGGAAGCTGACGCCAACTGCGACAGCTTCTGCACTGTGGACCGTCTGCCGGGGACTGCAGACGGCCACGGGATGGGTGGGAAGCCGGGCCGTCTCCGGGGCTGGCAACGTCCGAGTGAACAGGCTCCTCGTCCGCTCAGCGCCTGCGTCACCCGCATCTGAGTCGTGGAGGGAAAGCCCCCCCCAGAAGCCACCTCCCGCCAGCTCCATGGTCGCTCCCACGGCGGCCCTGAACGCCATCCGTGTGGCAGAACAAGAGCCCCCAGATGCGCTGCTTGGGGGTAACTCCACACCGAAACGTACAACTTGGCCAAGATCTCCGCAGGGACACGGCGCTCAGGCGACAGACTCCAGGAAGAGGGAGCGTCCAACGCCGGTCTCGCCGGTCTCCCCGTTTAGATCTGCCTCTGTCCGGAGCCTGCGGCTGTCCCCAAGGTCTCCCGATGTCAGGAAGTTCCGCGTGTCCCCTGGCCGCGCCGGGTGGTGCATTCGCTGGCTGTCAGAAGTTCCTGATGCTGCTGGGGGCGGGGGAGGGAGTCGCGACGGCCCGGTCGCTCCTGTCCTCCGGGCTCTACACGTCGTAGCGGTTCACACTGTGCGAGTTCGGGTAGCCCTGCCGGCTGCTGTACTGGAAGTGGCCCGCCAGGGCACTGCTGTGGCCGTACTGGTAGCCGCCGTGCTGCGGGAAGAGGTGGCCGTTGTGGGGCTTCTCCGTGGGGCTCCGGTGCCGCTCCTTGCTGCTCAGGTCTGCGGCCGAGACGGGGAGGAGGTGCTTCCGCGCTTGCTGGTTCGCGTCGTACTTGGTCTGCACGGGAAAGAGCAACGCGACAGTCGGCTCCGCTGCCCAGACACGCCCGGAGGAGAGGCGAGCTCGCGATTCCGAGCCAGGGGCACTCGGGCACGCGGCGGCAGGTCCTCCCTGCTGGACCCCACGCATTTAGCACTACACCTCGCAGACCCTTCCCGAGGAGGGAGACCCAACCCAGCCGAGCCTCGCAGGCCCGGGAGCACAGTGGAGTGACACGGGACCATCCGCGCGGGGAAAAGACGGCCAGGGCAGGGCGGGCGTGCCTCACGGTCAGTGGCGAAGCTGGGACCCGGAGCCCCCCCAGCTCCCAGGAGGCCCCGTCCTTCCACGGCCCCCACCCCCGGCTCACCTTGTTGTACAGGAACACCCCCAGGATGGCCGTCATCATGCCCAGGACGTTGGTGCTGGTGACCGGGTTGCGCAGCATGATCAGGGACACCGTGATGACCATGATTCTCTTGGTGGCGTTGGCGACTGAGTAGCTGAGGGGGCTGATGAGGTTGAGGATGCTGAAGGCGATGACATTCTGGGCGAAGTTACAGAAGCCGCTGACGGCCAGGAGCAGCAGCGTCCAGGGCCACTGGGAGACGTAGGTCTGTGGACACCGGGGAGCAAGGACAGCAGCTCAGTGGATGGCAGGGGACGGTCCCCTCCCTCTCTCCACCTGGCAGGGGTCGGGGAGAGGACGCAGGGGGCTCACTGGGGCCCCACGGTCGGTCGGCAGGCAGCAAGCCCAGGGGTGTCGTCGTGTGCATGACCTCTGACCCCCACAACACCGCACAGCACAACAATCACCCACCATCTCCTGCCGAGGAAGTGGAGGCTCAGAGAGGTGGAGCCAGGTGCCCACGGGAAACAGAGCAAGGCGAGAGGAAAGCTGTCCCCCGAGCCTGGACAGGGAACAGCTAGGAGCGGCGGGGTCGGCAGAGCAAGGGTCTGCCTGCCGGGCATGTGCATTCCCGAGGGTAGGAGGTCCCGGGGCGTGAAGACCCCAATATGGGACTTCTCTGATTAACCACAGAACCACCCAAAGGGCCTGGGCTGGTCCCAGGACAGGCAGACAGGTGGGAACCAGGTAGGCACCGCCCTGAATCAGCCCAGCTGCTGAGTACTGCTGGGCACCTATTCGGGGCCGGGCAACAGGAGGCACGGGGGCCGGCTCATGGGCCTCCACGCCCCCTGCTCCATCTCACCCCGCTAGCCGTTCATTCTCCCGGTCGGAAAACCAAGAGGTTGCCACAGGCAGGGCTGCCAGTCTCCCCAGTGTCTGTGACCCAGGCAGGAGTCCTGGGACGTCCCTGTGGTTCCGGGGCAGAACCCAGAGTGGCCGGGTGCAGCAAGCAAAGTCCCAGCATCTCCGCGGCTCCTGCTCTCTGTGGCCAATTCCCAGGCCACCGCTGGCTCCCCTGAGGACAATGGTGACTGGCTGGCAGCTGCCACAGGACGGCTGCCTGATTCCATGTCCACAACCCCCAAGAGGGAAGGATCACATGGTCCTCCCAACGGCGAGAAGACACACTTAGGTGACTTCCTCAAAGCCAACCAAATCAAGACCTGAACCCCCAAATCCAAGTCCGTTCACCTGTGCTAGGTACCTCGCTGGAGTCAGACAGCCCCCGAGAGGCACTGGAGTCCACTAGGGTGCTTTCGGGGCCAGCGGCCTGCTCCCCAGGGCGACTGATAGAACAACAAATGAGAGTTCCAGTTGTGCCCAACCCTTGGTATTTTAGCCACATTATATTTTGGCCATTCTAGTAGGTATGAATTGGTATCCCTTATGGTTTGGATCTGAATTTCCCTAAGGGCTATTGATGTCAAACATATTCATGTACTTATTTATATCCCTCTGTATATTCTCAATGGTGACACGTCCAAGTTTTTGCCTGTTTTTGTTGTTGTTGTTGAGACAGAGTCTTGCTCTGTCGCCGTGGCGTCATTGTAGCTCACAGCAACCTCAAACTCCTGGGCTTAAGCGATCTTCCTGCTTCAGCCTTCCGAGTAGCTGGGACTACAGGTGAGCACTACCACGTCTGGCTAATTTTTCTACTTTTAGTAGAGACAGGGTCTTGCTCTTTCTCTGGCTGGTCTTGAACTCCTGAGCTCAAGCGCTCCTCCTGCCTCGGCCTCCTAGAATGCTAGGATTACAGGCATGAGCCACCACACTCGGCCTCACCTGTTTTTTAATTGGGTTATTATTACTGAGTTTTGAGAGTTCTTTCCATATGCTTAACACAAGTCCCCTGGGAGGGTGTGTCATTTGCAAATATTTTGCCCCAGGCTACAGCTCGTCTTTTCGAATACTTAAGTGTTTTCAAAGAGCAAGTTTTTTATCTGGATGAAGGCCCATCTATCACATTTTTTCTTGTATGGACTTTGCTTTTGGTGTGATGTCTAAGAACAAATACCAAGTCATGAAGATTTTTTCTCCTGTTTTCCTCTCTGGCCCATGGATTATTTAGAAATATGCTGTTTAATGTCCAAGTGTTTGGTTATTTTCCTGTTACCTGTTAGTGACTTCTAATTCCATTATGGTCAGAGAATATACGTTGAATAATTTCAAGCCTTTTAAATTTGTTAAGGTTTGTTTTATGACACAGAATATGGTCTATCTTAGCGAATGTTCCATGTGTACTTGAAAAGAACATCTGTCCTGCTATTGTTTACTGCTCTATAAATGTCAGCGAGACATCCAGTTGGTGGTGTGCAGTCCTGTTTATCCCTGCTGACTTTCCACAATTCCACCGACCACAGAGATTCCATATATGCTGGGCATAGAATTCTGGGTTGACAGTTATTCAGTTTTAGTACTTTAAGGTGCCAAACTTTTTTCTCTCCTTTGGGGACTCGAATTTTACAAATGTTGGTCCATTTTGGTATTATCCCTAAGGCTCTGTTATCTACTCAATCTATCTCACTGTCTATTCTTTTAGAAATAGTCTCACTCTGTGGCCCAGGCTGAAGTGCAGTGGTATGATCATAGCTCACTGTAGCCTGGAACTCCTGGGCTCAAGGGATCCTCCAGCCTCAGCCTCCCAAGTGGCTGGGACTACAGGTTTGTGCCATCACGCCCAGCTAATCTTTAAAAAAATTTTTTTTTTGTAGAGACAAGATCTTGCTATGTTGCCTAGGCTGGTCTCATCTGTCTAATATCTCTTAATCTTTTTCTCTCTATTGTTCAAACTTTGTAATTTCTACTGATCTATTTCCAAGTTATTGACTACTTCCTGTTACCTCTATTCTGCTAATTAGTCCAATCCAATGAGTCTTTTTTAAGTTATTGCTTTTTTTCTATTTGGCTCTTGCATCTATCTTCTGTTTCTTCCCATTTGTATCCAGAGTGTTTGTCCTTACTTCTTTGAGCATGATTACAATCACTGCTGTAAATTCTTTGTCTGTTAATGCTAACATCTGTGTCATCTCGCTGTTGGCATCCACTGATTCTTTGCCCACACAACCTTGAATTTTCCTGGTTCTTCATATGCAAAGTGATTTTGGATTGCATCTTGAACATCTGGCATATTATAGGACACTGGGTCTTATTTAAATCCTCCGAAGAAATGTCACTTTAACAGGCAACTGACACTAACTACAAGCCTGACCAGCCTTCTGTAGGTTGTGGTTCCAATGTCAGTTCTGTTCAAAGTCTGTGGAGTGGGTCTGGCTCCATCCTGAGCGTGCTGCCCCATGGTCAGTCTCAAACCAGGGCAGTAATCTATCCTGTCTTCAGTTTTCTATCTGCCGTGTAGGGTCCGATCCTCACGTGGCATGGCTCAGCGTGGAGCCCAGGACTCCACGAACTGCCTGATGAGGCCGCTTTCCCGAGCTCCTCCTTCCCCGTGATCTCCTGGTTCTTTCCGGTTTCCTGGGGCTCCCCCTTTCCAGTCCTCCAGTCAGGAAGCTGGGGCTTACCCACAGCATGTGCTGGGTACTCCCCGTGACCTCACTCCCACTTGGAGGCCGAGCAGCGAGAGCATGAAGAAAGGGGAAAAAAGGGCAACGGAGCTAATCTCTTCCTCCTAGGACCACATTTCCTCGGCCTGCAGAGGAAGGTTCCCCTCTCCCGGGGTTTTAGGTGCCCGTGGGCCTCTGCTGCCACCGGCACAAGGGGATTGTCGGGGGTCTTGGCTGAAGACAGTGAAGGAAAAACAGAAAATCCCAGCGGGGGATTTCTCCCCCTCTCTGAGGGCAGGGATCCCCTTTCCCACGGTCCAAGCTCCACGCAGAGGGCTTCTCTGTCCTCACTCAGTACCCACTTCCACATTTTGGGCTGCCTCAAGTCTAGGCTGGATCACAGGAAGGAAAAGAATAGCAAACTCACCGCTGGCTCAGAGGCACTTAGCCAGGATGCTGGTCTTCCCCTTCCATCTGCCTGCGACCGTTTACTTTTCAGTTCTCAAGCAGCTGTTACGTGCATTCTGTCCAAATTTCAATACTGGACACCCGCCGGGGGAATCTAGCAACCCTGCCTGGCTCTCACTGGGCCGGGCATCTCTGGGAATCGCCTGCTCCACCCTTCGATTCTTGGTAAGGCGGTGAGCACCAGACACCGGCTGACGCGCTCCCATTCCGGAGCACGGGACGGGGACAGCAGCGCCGACCAACCTGCCGCCTGCGTTGTGTCTAGGTGGCAGACGCTGGACAAAGGGGAGGAGCCCAGGTACGTGGGAACCCCACCTTCAGACTGCAACATGGTTGAATACCATGTGTTCCTAGGGCTGCTGTTAAAACATACAAGGGCCCACTCATAATTAAAAATATATACATATGGAGCCTCAACTAAGAAAAAGAGGTTACTGGAGTACACCTAAAAAGATAATCACTAGAACTAAAAAAAAAAAAAAAAAAGCCTACATGTTCACGTCTGTGTGGCCACACAGACAAGCACCAGTGAGTTGTTAACACAGAACACGATGAGAGCGAGCAGCAGGCCCATGGGCTATACGACACAGCCCAATACGACACAGCCCACGGAACAAACGAGAAAGGACGTGCGCATTGACGAGGAGAGATCTCCAGGACCTACTGAGCACAAAAGGCGAGGTGCGCAGTAGCACGGCTGCCCTTGGTATCCGAGGGGGGTTTGTCCCAAGACGCCCCGTGGACACCCAAATCCACGGTGCTCAGATGCCTGATGTAAATGCCATGTAAAGGCTTGTTACAGTCTATTGAGTTTTTTAACTTATTTATTTTTTTATAGCCCGGCTATTTGACAACTTATGTTTTTTATTGTTGTATTGTTATTTTTGTCCCCCTGAAAATTTCTGATTCAAGGTTGGTTGAATCGTAGATGTGGAACCCGCCGATACAGAGCGCTCTTTATGTAAAAAGGTCACTTTCTGTGTAAGAAGGAGGGAGGGTATGAATATATAAGTAAATTTGCTTTATTTACAAAAAAAAAAAAAAATATGGAAAGGGTGAACCAGGAGCATAAAGATTGTCACCTATAGGGGAAGGAGGGACGGGGTGAAGGCAGGGAGTGAGGGGCCAGATTTCTTTGAGAAAACCTTGTTACACAGTTTGGCTTTGGAACTACAAAGACTTTACACATTCAGTGTGTAGGAGGAAAGTCAATTGCTAAAAACTGAAAACAACAGAAGTAAATGAACCCAAGTGCGTAACAAGTTAAGGACCGGGCACACTGTGAACACAATCTTTCCAGGTGATCTTAGAACACAGTATTCCGATTGCACATCTTTATTTATTTATTTATTTTTGAGACAGAGTCTCACTCTGTTGCCTGGGCTAGAGTGCTGTGGCGTCAGCCTAGCTCACAGCAACTTCAAACTCTTGGGCTCAAGCCATCCTCCTGCCTCAGCTTCCTGAGTAGCTGGGACTATATAGGTGCACACTACCATGCTTGGCTAATTTTTCTGTTTTTTGTAAAGATGGGTGGGGTCTTGCTCTTGCCCAGACTGGTCTCGAACTCCTGGGATTAAGCGATCCTCTTGCCTCAGCCAACCAAAGCACTGAGATTACAGGCAAGAGCCACCTTGCCTGGCCTTCCTGTGTTAGTTTCTGACACATCCTCTGGAGGCTGACCCTATAGGTGGTGGGAAGATTCCATCTGGAGTAAATGGAAATACGGACCGGGAAGAAATCGAGCTGTGCGCAGTTTTAGAAAGTCAAAGTGAGATCTGAACTGCACTGTCAGGACAGGAAAGAGTCACCTATGCTGGCATTTTTTCCCTTCCTTGATGCTACTGGCATAAACGCAGCTGCTGTCAGCAGCTGGAATCAAGCACGCTGGAGACGGCAACGCAAAGGAAGCCCACTTCCTCCTCGGCTGCGGGCAGCCTGAGTCATCACAAAGGGCCGAGTGCTGAAAGGGCAGGCTGGCAGATGCCAGGAAACACCCCAAAGTCAACATGGAGCCGTAGCTCCCAAAGAACAAAGCACCTGTTTGGGAACTTGTCTAGGAAAAGGGCAAGTTCTCAGTGCCGGCCAACTCACCAAGTCGCTGCTGACCAGGAAAGCCGAGAGGTCTACCAGGACCCAGGTGGGGATCATGAAGAAGACGGCGTGGCAGCCCAGGATGCTGAGCAGCCGCAGATGGTGGATCCGCGAGTCTCTCAACACCTGAGGACAGAAGGCCACTTTAAAGGCTGATGGAAACTGTATGTGGCAAGAAGGGCTCCAGTTACGCAGGCCCCAAGCGCAGCCACTGCACATTCACCCCTACATCCGACCTTGAACACCAGGCCTGCGAGCGCATCTGTGAGGAGGTACACGGCACATGCCCAAAACAAGCACCATGTTCCATGTGTAAAGGACCAAGAAAAGAAAAGAAAAAAAAACAAACAAACAAATAAGCAAACAAACAAAAAAACAGTAGCACTCAATGTTGGTGAAGATGCAATGAAACAGGCACTCTGAAATCTCTCTGGTTTAAGTCCAAATTGGTATATCCTTTCCAGAATACAACCAAACTATAACCAGAGCCATGAATGTCTCATCCCCTCTGATCTGAGAACTGTAAACATACCATAAGAAAATAACCCGAGAGACGGGAAAACATCACGCACAAAGATCATTTCTACATTACAACGAAAAGATGGAAATAAATTGTATTTCCAATAGGGGACCTAACAATGTTAACCGTGCTACCTGAAAACCATGTGATTGTTATAGATTCAATGGCAATAACTACTAATGATATGGGAAGATGCTATGATAAAACAGCAAATGAGCAAAGCAAAATTTCTAATATATCTCTATACTGTAACTCTAAGAAATGTGCAGAAGAAACATTACATCAATAGTAGCTATCTTTAGGAGACTGCACTGTGATCTGACTCGGTAAAGTGGAAATCCCCGGGCAGGGGACAGGTCTCTTTTGATTCTTCCTCTTGAGCACCCATCACAGTGGCTGGCATACAGTAGATGCTCAATAAGTTAAAAAAAAAATTTTTTTTTTTAGTTGGGCTTTTCTCTATTTTCTCACACGGAGCATGTGTTAATTTTGTAATAGATAAACATAAACTTTTAAAAAAGCAGCAAACAGAAGATCAGCAGAATGGCAGTAAGGATTCTTTTGCTCCCACACTCAAGAAAAATCACCACTCGGCTGGCATCTCAAATGCCACCAGTCTGCCACCCGCGCACCCCCGGGGCGCCATGCACATCCGTGATGATGGCCGCGTACCTTTTTGGAGAATATGTTCTGCAGGGAGAAGCACAGCGTGGCAGCGAGGGCGCTGACGAGCCCCCACATGTCGAAAGACAACTCGGTGACAGTGGCCAGCAGGACACCACTGATGATGGGGATGAGTGACAAGTACACCTGTGGGAGCACAGCAGAGGGACTGATGGGGCAGCCTGGAGCCGGGCCGCCCACCATACATGCCCGGATGAAAGCTCCCCCACTCTCTCCCCTCACCAAAGGGACACCCCCTGCCCCTGTGGGCCGCCAGTGATGCTCTAGGGGTGGCTGGGGGCAGATGGTCATCAGACCACCTGGGGCAGGGCTTGTGTGTTTGCGGGCTGCCCCACCCCTAAACCATCACCCCCATTAAGAGCCTCTGCTCAGGGGCACAGACCTGGGCTGGTCCTAACCTTACCCATCTCTTCAGCTGCCGCAAACACACCAGAGTTTGCAACCTCGATCCTCTGAGAGGATCCCTTGTTCCCTCTTATTTCGGGTTCCTCCAGCTCGGTTACTCCCGGCAAGGACACCCCGTGGATGCTTCCTCCCATTGGTGACATTTCCCCTCAGGTCTCAGGCCACCCAGCTCTACCCCATAGGTTCCTGTGCTGTGTCCCCCCGCCGCCAGCTGCTGCCTGGGCTTCCCTGACGGAGCGCTCAGCACTGGCGCTAACTGTCCTTTCAATCATCTGGTCCCTGTTAGACTGGACACAATTCTACCACAGGTTCTTGTTTGTTGCTTTAGCCGGGTGCCTGGCACACGGTAGGCACTCAATACCTGCCAGCTGAATGACAGGAGGCCTTCTAGAAGGTCCAGCGTGCCATGGCCTGCCAGTTAAGTGGCTCCCAACTTCCAGGATCTACTGGGATCCACTGACTCCCAGCTCAACCTTGTCCTACAAAGAAGACTCTTAAGGCAAGGCAGAACACCCTTAGGAGGTGATGGTGATGGCCCCGGGAGGGCAGGACAAGGGCTGTGGCCTGGGGGACCTGAATTCCAGCTCCCCCACTACTGGCGGTGGCCCTCAGACACGCGCCTCTCTCCTCTGAAGTCCTATTTCTTCTCCTGAGATCAGGAATGACGACTACCTGCCCTATCTGCCCCGCAGGGTGGGTCCCTACAAAGCTATCACGTCATTATCATTAGTTTGTCTGCCTCAGAGGGCCAATCCCCAGTCGTTTCTCACTGTGTGAAGTTTCCGGCTCCTTGCCCAACCTGGGTACAATGTCCTGTACAACGGGGAAACCTGATAAACAAGATACGCTATCAAGTGGTGCAGCTGCACACCTCTCAGGCAACTCCGACCCCAGGGAGGCAAGTCACCCTGACGTCACCCTGGCGGGGCGGGCCCCAGAGCACAGGCAGGTCTTGCTGGGATAAAGATAGGCTGGAATAAAAAAATAAAATCAGCCTGAAGTGGCCCAATTTCTATAAGCTGATCCAGGGCACTGCTGCTCTAAGTTATATAAAATACAAGATGCCAGAAACCAACCACTTGAAAAAGAGGTGCTGTGTCCGGCAAGAAATGGATTCCAGCTGGGAAAATAAGAGTCCAACTTCCACTTAAGGACACAGGGCAAGGTGGCCTCTGGCTAAAGCCATGGTTTCTCTTGCCCCAAGCCAGGAAATACCCTGGCTTGGCATCTTGAACAGACCCAGGACTCTGCCAAACGCATCGTCCTACGTAGCCCTTAGTGGTGCGTGCTGCTTTCACTTCCATTCCCAATCACAACTCCTGGCTGTTTTAATTTCTAAGACTTTGCTGGATTTTACCCAAATCAAACTCCTTTGATTCAGCATCTTGGTTCTGGTCCCAGAAATCCTCTGACCACTCCCTCTTATAAAGAAGTGAAAACCTGTCTGTTTTAGAGTTCTGTTCCATCCCTGGTTCCACTGGAGGGGCGCGCAGGGGCTGCCTTGCCAAGATGTGGCCAAGCCATCGCCCACCAGCAACCCCTGGTAGGGAATCGAAACAGGGAGGAAAACTGAACCTGAGGGTCAACAGTGTTCTTAAGACCACAGAGGAGAGCTCACAGAGGGACACAACACTCCACATACCACTGCCCGCAGGGTGATTCTAGAGCACTGGCAGTAAAAAGGCCTTTGGAGGCCTCTACACTGACTTCCTTATTTGACAAGCAGCCTGACAGCCTTCAGACCAGCAGCCTGCACCACGTCACCAGTTGGGCAGCCGCCGATCCCCATCTGTCCAGAACCCGGGCCTCGGGTTACCTTGGTGCTCTGCTTCTCCTTCATGATGATCCGGGACAGGAGGACCACCCAGATGGGCATGGTGGCCTTGACTGCAAAGAGAGGAAGGGCACTCAGGCTGCTGCCCGAGTCCTCGGGGGCCACCCAGGGAGGCCGGTCCACCTCCACAGCTGTGGTCTGCCCGGCTCAGCCCCCTGCCTCCCCGAGAGCCCTGTGCGCGTCCCTCCCCTACCGAAAGCCTCGGCGGGCCCTCTGCCGGCTTCTCGGCCCGGTGGGACGCTCCCCGGCCGGCGGACTCCTACCCCTGTGCCCGAGCCCCGGCCGGCACGCCCCGGCCGCCGCCCCCAGGCCGGGCGCCGCACCCACCGGTGTGCGCGTAGGACACGGGCACCTTCCAGATGCTGACGTGCGCAGACACGGACGCGAAGTACTTGCCGAAGGCGAGCGGCAGCACGTAGCGCGGGTAGAAGCGCGGCGGCAGCAGCGGGCCGGGCGACTGGTGCGGGCCGGGCCCCGCGCCCGAGACGGGCGGCGCGGGGGGCACGCGCCAGGCGCGCAGCAGCGGCGGGAGCCCCGCGCACAGCGCCAGGATGTGGCACAGCGACACGGTCACCGGGAACGGGAAGGCGCTCAGGATCACTTTGTTGACCACGTTGCCGCCCGCGCTCAGCGCGTACCACAGCAGGCACAGCGCCGCCACCCGCGCGCCCTCGCGCGCCCCGCCGCCGCCGCCTGCCGCGCCCGAGCCCCCCGCGCCGGAGCCTGAGCCCGAGCCCGAGCCCGCCGCCGCCGCCGCCGCCGCCGCCGCCGCCCCCGCCAGCCTGCCCAGCGGCCGCCCCTTCCCGCCCGTCCGACGGCCCGACGCCGGGCCGGGGCGGGGCTGGGCGGGGGCGGGCGCGCCGGCTAGCGCCATTCCCCATTGGCCGCCACCGCCGCGCGTCATCCCCGCGCGCCGGCAGACGCGCCAGACCTCACGTTTCGCGTGCAGGCCCCGCCCACCTCCGGATGTGCTTCCGGCGGAGGCGGGGCCGAGGCCGGAAGCGGAAGGAGGGGTCGGGGCCTTGAGCCCAGCTGTGCTACCCGAGACGTGGGCTGTCACGGTGCCCGGGCGCCAGAGCAGGGGCGGACGGGCTGGCGAGAGCGCGAGGGCCCCCCGCGTCGGCGTCTGTGAGCGGGCGATCGAGCTCGCGGGCTAAACCAAGGGGCCTCGGTGGGCGGTACATGGGCGCCTCCTTCCTGACGGTCCGGCGGCGGCGAACACCTAGGGTGAAAGAGGAGACTTTTCCAGGAAAGAAACCAGATTGCGAAAAGATCTCCTTGGGCTGAGTATGCCCTGTAACCCGGGGGCACACGCCCGTGGCCGGACTCCGGCAGAGGAGCCAGCCCGGAGCACCGGTCCTGGGGAGGGCGTTCTGGAAACCACCGCGACGTGCTCAGTCCACCCGCCTGGCCCAGGCATCTTCCCACTGAATCCGAGGAACGCTGTGCGGTAGGTATTACCGTCCCCATTTCACAGCCAGACCCAAATCCAGAGAGGAGAAACGACAGGTTTTAGGCACCCCGTCTAATTTGGGGGCCGTGGCCCATGGCAGCCTTCTTGGACACCTGGCTCCAGGGCTCTGCAGGAGGAGGAGGTGCCTGGCTCTGACCGCTGATGTTCAAGGACCAGCCGGCATAGACCAGCCCCAGGCCCTAGTGGAGGAAAACAAGTCGGTGTTTTCAGCAGTATGATCTGATACTAATTAAACGACTTTAATTTGTTCCAAAAGTCATGTGTGTACAACCTTTTTCAGGGAGGAGTGTTAAAATCCCATGTTACAGTATCCTTGTCAAATTATAAAGTGGCAACCCAACTTGGTCTCCCACATGTTGGGGGTATCAGCTTTATCTTTGTATTCTCAAAGGCAATACATGTGTCCTGGAGCAGGTGAGGTGGTCCCTGCAGGTAGGGGCAAGGGGATTAGCAATGTCCCCAGACCAGATCTGAGAAAAGAGGGTGTTGATACGATGCCAACCTCTGTATCCTGATATCCTCTAGCTGTACTTTTTCCCCATTGTCACTGAGATGTCACATCCTTGGGATACCACGTCAGCAGAGCCGGCCAAAGTGAAAACATAGGCACAGTAAACTTAGAAAAGCAGCTCTATATAGTCACTCCATAGTACAACTGAGTGTCAGACACTTCCACTGACATGCTTTTGTGGTTTAACTTTTATCATTTATTTTAGTTCCTACAACGGTGGGGTAGGCACTTTCAGACCCCAAATGGTGACAGGTACACAAGAGTGAGATCAGCCCAGAGCCACACAGTTGGTAGATGGCAGGACTTGGGGCTTACCCTCCCATTCCTCTTTTCTTGGGAGGGGGGGAGGGGGAATGCATGTCCCACACCAAGCTACCAACCCCTGGTGGCTCTGAGTTCTGGGTTGACTGTAGTCCTGCAGGCCAGAAGGAATGTCCCTGGAACCCTTAGTTTTCCCTGTGGGGCTGCCTCTCTTAAGATTTAGCTGTTTCCTCATTTGTGAAATTAACTACAGATGGACAATATGACCTATTCTGGACTGAAAAAACTAGAAAACCAAAGTCTTAGCTTCTGATTTCAGGGACAAGGGGGAACTAAAAGATTATCACTTTATAGTCAAGGGAGAAGTTTTTAAAAAAATCAGTACCAGCCAGGTGTGGGGGGCTGATTCAGGTGTTATGCCTTATACTAATCATTCACTGCAGCCTGTAACGTACGCCCCTGCTCGCTGCGCCACTTGACGCCAGAATCAGCCTCCAACCACCAGGTATGTTTGTAAGGCAGCGAGGGCCAAGGGGGGCTGCCAGACGCACAGCTGGGAGCCTGTTGGCCACGCTGTGTAATTAGTCCAAATATTTGGGGGGAAACCAAAAAGTCACTGAGACCTGAGCTTCTCCCTGGGGTAGCTGAGGTGTGGGTGAGGTAGGATACTGTTGCTTGATGTGGTCCTTGGGAATCTGTCACTCCAAGCTAGCAGGTGCCCTGAATAAAAGGTGCAGGTCTCCCCAAATGCAACAGCAGGCTAACAGGCCAATTCGAGGCTGTGCCCCACCTGCCCTATGTCCCAGCAGTCTGGCTGTGGGGTCCAGGACTTCCTGGCTAATCCAGAATCCAGGAAAGGGCAGATTTGGCTGTGAAGACCCAAATGAGAGACGATTCTCAGACTGGTTTGTGCAAATGGTTTTTTTATTTCCACATTTATATCACAAGGTGTCCACTTACTGGACCAAATAGCAAAGTTGCTCCCTTCTGTGTCCTGAGAACACAGAAGTCTAGGTACTGTACATTCACTAAGGCTCCTTGTTTTTGCAAATCGCGTTTATGACAATAACCATAAGGCAAACGAATCTAAAGGAATGGTTATGAGTGTTCCCAGCGCACAGACAGGTCTCCCTCCCGCCCAACAGCACAGCTTTCACACCAGTAGCACCCGCGGGGACTTTTGTATTGTTCTGGGGGGAGGACTCTAGAAAGGTGGAATTTTCTAGATGTGTGCAGGAAGAGAAAAGGGAAAAGAGGAAGAAAGGAAAGGTTTTTTGGCTGGTGGTCAGATGGAAGAGGGGGAGAAAAACAAACTTGAGAAAACTTAAATTTTTGCAGCATTTCTTTAAAAGCTGGGTTTTAAGTGAAACCAGATACAAATGGGTGGATGCCCGTGGAGTGTGGGTCAAACTGGCTGGACAATGAGCCTGCCCGCCTGATGCCAGTGGCTCGCCGCAGCCCAGAAGCTTCCAGCACATGATGGAAAACACTGGCCTGACAGTGGCTGGGTGGGGAGCGAACAGAGTCCACGGTGCAGCCCACTCTCTCCCAGACTTTCAGGGCCAAATTAAAGAACAGAAAACGTAAAGAGATGAGATGCGTGCTTCTGTTGCTATGTTAAAGGTAACCTCTCCCACAGGTTTTCTGTGCCTGCCTGCAACTGAGGTCCCAGCGTTCAGGTGCTGGAAGTATCCGCACCTCTTCCGGGGTGGGGGACTAACGCTTTTTATAGCTGGTCTGCTATAGAGTTCTGAACTCACTTTGCCGTCCTTCCTTCCTTCCGCGCGGTCCTTCCTTTGCAATTTTGTTAGTAAACTGGTAGCAGCATTTCACAAAAGAAGGAGAGTTTTGAGGGGAGAGCATGGAGACCACGTGACTCCCGCCCGCTCCCTCCCGCCCGGGCCGGACACCCCGAGTTCCCAGCTGCAGGGGGCAGCTGGGTCCTGGCCACCCGCCAGCCCTGGCTCCTGCAAGGTGGGAATGCACTTTGTGGCCGACGAGCCGGTCAGTCCAAGCAGACATAAGGCAGAATGTTCAACCGCCCGTCGTCGCCGTGCGGGTCGAGCGATACGCACTGCGTCCAGTCATACCAGTTACCCTGTGTGTCCTGACACCCGTTCACCCCTGGCCACTGACGGGCCTGGATTCTGTCCAGATCGTCCTGTGTTACCTCCCGGGTCACCCCCGGGAGATCCGAAGGTGGGCCATGAGGCACCAGCACGTGCAGCTTCCTGGCCCCGCGCCGGGTGCTCTCTTCCTGCTTCAGGTACTCAGACATGAAGTGGTGAGCGCCTGGGGTCTGCGCACCCGACGACGAGAGCAGGCTGCTCTGCCGGCTCAGGTAGGACTGGATGATCTCATTGCGTGACAGCTCCTTCCAGTTCGTCTGTTCAAAGGGGCTCTGGAGGCTGGCCTTGGCCTCCTGCTTGTCCAGCTCTGTCCTGGGCGGCTGCTCTGTGTGCACAGGGCTGTCTGCCCGCACTGGCTCTTTCTGGGTCAGAGGTTTGATCTGTCTTGTCATGGGGTCAAAGGTGAGTTTCCGCTCTTTTAACCGGACCGGCTTGACGCCCGCCTCGGCCACCTGCCCGTCCAAGTTAACTGTGTAATCACGAGGCCTGTACCTCTTCTTCTTTTTACTGTCCGAGCCACCTGAGGAGGCAGCGTCACTGTCCGCCTTGGAGGAGTCTGGGGAGAACCCTGCCCGGGGCAGGAGGGGCTCTGCTGGGGGCAGCCCCGCCTTGCAGCCCAGCCCCGCCAGCCGCTGGTGGCCCTCGGGCTGCTCCAGCCAGCGCACTGGGCTCTCGGCACTCGGCAGCAGCTCGAGCCGCCGCACAGGGGGTGTGGACGGCTGTGCCAGCGGAAGTGGTGATGGCACCTGTGTGGCATCGAGCGCCTGGGGCCGAGGAGAGGGGCTGGACACAGAGCCCTTGGATGCGTACGAGCTCTGCTGCCGGGCAAAGGAGCCCTCATGCCGTGAGTTCCGGGGACTGTAAGAGCAGCGAGGGGGCCCCTTGGGGTGGGGGGGGCCCGGAGTTTCATCTACCCTGTCCAGCTGCTGCAGCAATGAAGTCTTCCCCTGCAAGCAGGGCCCGGAGGGCTTGCCCAGGCCGGGGGAGCTGGTGTGCGGCCGCACAGCGTTGACAGGGATCTTGCCGCTGTGCCTGTCGTTCTCACCTCGCTCCAGGCGGCTGCCCTCAGGGCTGGCGTGTCCACTGCCGTCTAGGGGGCTGGGGAAGCTCTCTGGGCTTCCTCCGATACCATTGGTGGGGAGGGGGGATGAGTTGGGGACCAGGGGGTCGTGGCTAGCTTTGGAGACCTTGGGAGGCGGCCCGGGGTGGCCAAGGTCGCGCTGGTCCCCCCTGCGCTTGCGGCTCCCCAGCCTGTCCAGCCGCTGCCCGGGCAGCCTCTGGATGTCATTGCGGTTCTTTAGGTCATGGATGCTCTTGGGCGCACCAGCCACTCCTGCCTCGGGCCGGCAGTTGTGAGCACCCCCGTTGGCCGA